ATATCGACAAATTTCCCGGTAAATGGAGAGTTTGCACGCAAATTTTTTATTGCTTCACCCGAAAGTGCTTTAAGAGCTGATTTCACAGTATTTTTTATAATTTTTTCTGTTGTAGGAAAAAGTATAAAAATACATTTAAAAGTGAGAAAAAGCACCGCCCAGTGACGTCATCTGGCGGCATTTCCCATTTAAACACATGTATTTTAGCAGATTGGATCATTTTGCCATATCTTCTCCAATACTTGTTCAATTCATGAACGAAGGGTATCCTCGTGTCCAGTTCACTTAGTAGTTTCCACCTAAACACGAAATTCATCAAATTTCAGACACCCGCAAATTCTCCATTCGACTTTTATTGGAGGAAATATGACAACATCCGAAGGCTCATACGGCGTTTTTCCGCAGGACGAGAGCATGGCGCGCAGGTCGGGAACAGGAACCGGATCCGACGGCGAAAATTCGCTGGATTCCTCGGAATCCCGGCCAAGAAGTGCCGACTCCTGGCTGATTCCTCCATACTGAAGTGCTGAGGAAGAACGCCGTATCAACATTCGAGAGTTGCCAAATTTCCTTTTATAAAATGTTTATTTGTGAGGATAATTATGAATATTTTTCCTTGAAATTTTCAGCAGCAAAATGTGAAATTGCGAACAAAATTAAGTGAAAAATTGGAAGAAAAATAGTCATAACTTCACCAGGAAAGCCATGTTTTATCAGATGACAATTTCGCAATGTCTGAGGGATCATAGGGTGTTTTTCCTTTGGACGACAGGATACTCGTGAGAATTTACGGTGCTGGAAGTGAAGCAGGCTCGGAGATGAGCGCGGTAGCCGCTGCCGCTCCAGAATCCCCAGAATCCACGACGAGGGGTATTAGCGCAAGGCGAGATTCAAATAGCAGAGCATGCCGCCGGCAGCCGGTAATTTCCTCTAATGAGACATGAGTTGCGCGCACGTTCCCGGCACACCGGTTTCTGCCCGAGACTCCTAACAAGAGTAACAAGACATCAAGAAGGGTCCTTTCCTTTCTGCCAGTCATTCGCCTCGCCACCGGGACCAGTGTATCGCTTCCACTAGAGAACCTTCAGTGAGAATATGGATGCTGCGCTCTGTCGTGCTAAGGAAAAAACGGCGTATGAGCCTTCAGACGTTGCCAAGTTACCTCGAGTGGAATACGAATCCATACGCAGGGTGCCAAAATTTCATGCAGAATAAAATCTTGAAATTTCACTCGATATATTTCATGAAATTTCAGAAATTTATGAAGGATATTGAAAAATACCGGTTCCTTTTTATGTTTCATAAAATGCGAAAATTGTGACTGAAAATATTTCCCTGAAATTTTCAATCTTTCATTTCTTTCTTACGCTTCATGTCATCCTGTCCATACGGAAATTTATGAAGATTTTCCGTCCGATTTTTCAGACAATTTCATTTTCAACCAGATCTAAATTATTTGAAAATCTCAAGAGGAAATAGTCACAACTCTTCTCTAAAATGAACGTTTAACCGAAGGAAATTTGGCAACATTCGAATGTTCATACGGCGTTTTTCCTTAGCACGGCAGTGTAATATCCATTACTGATCGGTTTCGCTAGCTTTTTAGCTATGGCATGAAGCTTTAAATTAGGATCCGTAAAAATGGCGGACGTCGCTTTCAGCAGAGAGTGCCTAGCCTTCCCATTTTCAAAATTCCATTTTCCTCAAAAATGTTTTTTTAAAGAAATGCTTTTTTATAGCTATGTGCGAATAAATCGCTGGGGCCTTTCGAAAAATACGTGATTTATACCGCGACTTTACGAAGGACTCGTTAGTTTGGCCGCAGATATACGAAAAAAGTGCGATTTTGCCGACTTTCACATTTAAAAACACCATTTTCGGGTCCCTCCCGTTTTCACACGCAACCGATTGCGACCCGTCTGATCGCATGGTTGAGACGTTTCTGCAGCCCTGGGCCCTGGCTTGCAAGTGATTCAAAATGGCAGATAATGAGGTTTTCGAGCTTACTGCCGTTATTCGACTTGAGCGTAATAGAGTGTCACGAGGTGATTCTTGCGTCGATTGTCGATTCACCTATCTCACGCTGGGTACAAAAAAATATATTATGATGTTAACTTGTTGTATTGTCATATGTCTAAATTCTGCGTATTATCTGGTACTATCTCGCAAAATACTTTTTATTGTCAAAATTTCTCTTGTATTTATTTTGTAATCACCTATTTTAAATATTCCTTTTATTTCTGCAGTTGTGAGCTAGTTGTGCGTCAGAAGGAGGAGGATCGTCATTCTTCTGTTTTTAGACCCATGTTAACGGCAATAAATCTTACCAGAAGGATTCGATGACCGGCTCAAACCAATTATTTTCGTTAAATTTAGACCTTTTATTGTCAAAGAACGCTGAAGTTACAGAACTTCAGTTTCAGGCCAACACCTACGCACTTGCTATACGGCACCCCTCTCTTTGGCGCGAAAATTTCGATGGCTGAAGTTGAATAATGTCTTGAGGCTTTTGTAAATCTTCGCTTTGGTTTCATGTTTTACTTTTTTAAAAGGAAACTGACGATCAGTTTTGTTTCCTGAAAATTTTCCACGGATTTCGTTCTCTCATCTGAAAATATTCCCAAAAAATGTCGAGGAGATATTTCAGTCAGTTTTCATTCGATAAAATGAAACATGATCGGATTTTTGAAAGTATTGCTGTACCTGTATGCTTTTTTCGATTTCAACCATCGATATGTGGACGTATTTCTACCAAACGGAACCATGTGCATTACGACGTGAGCCCTGTTATGCATACATTCCTATGGGTCTCAGGGCTCATGTCTTGTAGCACATAGTTCTGTTTGGCAGAAATACGTCCGTGTATTGTGATGCTTTGATCATGAAGTTGTTTGCTTCGTTTCGAGGAGTTGCAGCAAAAGAAATTTTTGAAAGCGCGAAAAATGAATCATTGGGTAGTATTGCGGGGAGGGGGGGGGGGGGAGCACAGAACGTTCACGTTAGTGCTAACAAGTCAATTTAGAGTCGAAGTTAGGGCAGCTCCCGTCTGTACGAGGAAGTTCCGAAGCTGAGTTTTCTGAGCCAGTCTCAAAATAAGGAATCTCGCGTCGCGTCGGAGCGGGCGGTGATAAAAATTTGACAGGTCGAAGAAAAATGTGTCGCCGCTTCTGTGGGCACAGGCGCCGCGGCGCCGGCGCAGATACCACTATTCGTCGCGACGCCTTCATTAGTCGACCAATCAAAAACCTAGACCGGGGCTCGAATCTTTTCAACCGCAGTTGAAAGTTCTTGACGCGCTGTTCTTGACCGCGAGTTCGGTCAAGAACTTTTGACGGTACTCGTCTATGAACCCTCTTTGCGAACTATATTAAGACCGAGTTTATCAGAAACGAACCAACCCTTATTAAGTTGAAACTGAGAAAAAGAGGTTTGAAGTTTTATTCTTCCAATGACTCGACGCAGAAAAGAAAATCTAACCCCTTTTTTCTCAGACTAATTTCTTTTTGCGACTTTATGAGTTTTGGATGGAGAAAATATACAAACAGTTGAACTCAAAAATATTCCTAATTCAATTTTTTCGAAAATGTGGGTTTGTTTCTTTCTGATAAACTCGGTCCAATGGTCAGTGATCGAAAAACAAAAGAGAATCTTAAATGAAACCATGGTGTCGAGATCCCGGATAAATTGAGAAATGCAGAGATATTCGATAGGGAATGAAGCAGCAAATCCAGAAAAATTGGGGAACTCGTCGCGGAACTTGTGTTACGAACCAGGAATTTTTTCTCTATCAGCTCTGAGATCAAATTATTTTTAAAATTGTTGGTCCATGTTGGCTTATTGGCTCTAAAGGAACCGACAAACAGTAGAAAAGTGGATTAGCTCGCAAAATTCGGAGAAAAATGTTGCTTCCTCAGAATCTGAAGACAAATGAGAAGGAATCCTGGGATTCACGAGGGAATTTTCCTTGGAATTGAAGAAAAATTAGGGGAATGCCAAGGAATTTGAACAATCAATAATTCCAGACTCCAGACACCATGCATTGATTATACATATTATTACGTAACCGTCCATGTGGGGAAAGAGTAAAAGACCGTCTACAAAAACTCAAAATGGTTACCAAAGCATAGAGAAGTGTTTTATAGCTGTACTCAAATATTATTTTCTACTTTTAACCCCAGGAGGGCCGGTATTTTCACAGTGGAAGCAGAGGGAAAAAATTGAAATTATTTTAGTCCCTTTCCTTCTCCCCTTTCCTCTTTCTTGGCAAGTTTGGAAAGAGTTAACTTACCCCGAAAAGTAAACACACGAGGAGGAAAAACACCGAAATTAATTTTAGTTCTTTCACTCTACCTTTGCTCTGATAATATTCCCCTAGGATCTCCTCGAGGTATAGGTAAAAATCACCCTTTCCCACGAACTAACTTTTCCACCTCGGGCTTTAGAGCAAAAGCCTCAGAAATGACAACACAATCCAAAAAAAGAACTCATTATGTTGAATACATTTGAATCAGCGAGAACGAAAACACGCCAACTCGGAAAAATGAAAATAATCAAGACGTATACAAAACTGCACAGTAGGTAAAGTAGTTAGTTCAAGAAAAAAATGTTTGCTACCGAAAGACAAGTACTTATGGACTCATTAAAGGTCAAAGTTGGAACAGATGCGCTAACTTCAATGACCTTTCTGTAAATTAACCGTCTTTAATGGAAATTGGGCATTTTCGTGTTACCGAGTTGGTGCGTTTTCGTTTTCACTGATTAATTTCTGATATTATTGCTCGTGAAGAGGTGTACAATTAAACAAAAATGACAACTGGCTTGACCTTTTGTGGTCAGAAATATCATACTTTCAACAACATCACCCGAAAATTCCTTCTCAGAGTAATATCTTCCTCTTTCTCTCATTATTTATGACATTGAGTTGCACTTTGACTTATATCTATCCAATATGTACGTCGTTTATTTGTTTTCTAAAATGTGTGCGCATTTGTTTGTTACAGGCTCATGAGCGGAGCAGTGAGATTATTGACGTGCTAAGATGGACCACCCCAACCCACTCCTTCTTCTAAGGTAAAGCTTTTTTTTCGAATCTGACAAAAAAATGAGACCTCGTTACAGTGTATAGCTTTCTCTCCTGTCAAGTCAGCAAGCGCCATCCTCCAACTTTACAAATTGAGCTATTTCCGGCGCCCGCCGATGCTGTAGGTGTCTATTACCACGATCCACGGTCTCACCGCGCATCCTCCTATGCCCATCACCCGTCTCGCGGCTTCGTCGTCTACGCACGCTCTCAGCGAATAAAAAACGCCTTCACTTTTTAGGTTATGCAATTAAGGACACAGCGGTGCCAATTAAGTTGCTCAGCGCTGAATGGTGGATTGGAAGGAGCGTCAGATCTAATGCCACTCTTTTGTATTATACCATATCATTTTCTCAATTTTTCAAGAGAGGTTTAGTTCTCCGAATCATAAGGTCTTTCTAACGAGAAAATTATCTCGTTTTAAGTGGGATATTGGCATTTGTAGATGAAATTAAATCAAATGGCCCACTCTCAAAGAAAATGGAAAATCAACGTGGACCATTTCAGTCAAACTTCAAACAGTAAGATCGGGTTCACATAACTTTTCCCTCCTTTTCTTTAAAAATAAAGAAGAAGAAAACATAAGTTAGACTTCCTTGGTAAAAATTGGCAGTAGAATCTGTGTTCCAAAATACCCAAGACCTACAGCCGGCTGTAAGATTTCCAATAGCCGGCTACACAATTCCTCATATCATTTTATAGCCGATGGCGACTAAGCAACAGCCAGGCGATAAAGTGTATGCTAAACGTTACTAACTACGGATGCTAGGGCTTAGTGAGTTTCTGGACTCCTGCTCTCTCTCTCTCTCTCTCTCTCTCTGGGCTGTAGTATCTTGATTTATTTCGCGAGGAAAGTTCCGTACTTTTGATGGATGCCTGCCATTCCTAATACGAGGGTCATCCAAAAAGTAAGGTTCCCTACCTTGTATCTTCCGAGCGAAACGAGATAAATCAAATCGGTAAAAAAGCACATATCAGGCATACTCTAAGCTTTAAAAGAAGCTCAAGTTTTTGAAAATCGGTCGAAGGATTCGCGAGTAAACTTAATTTTACAGAGACGACCTCCTGTCGGCGCGTGCCCACCTCCGGGGTCAGGATGCGCGGAGAGTCGATTTTTGAAGACTCGGGTTATCGCCTCTATACATCACATCAACAAGAAATTTTAAAGTTTTCATTGAGTAGGCCTTACCTTACTTTTTGACGTAGTCTTCACATCTTTTTTTGACATTTCTGGTATCATTACAGCAGCTTCTTGATGCCTTCCGCGTAGAAGCTTTCGCCTTGACTCAGAAACCAGTCATTGACAGCTATCTGTACCTCTGAATCGGTTGAAAATCGCGTCCATCGTGGAAGTTTTTCCGCTCAAGAACAAATGAAAGTTACATGAAGCTAAAGTAAGGGAGTTTGAAGGATTGGGGGAAAATTTCCCTACGCAAAGCAACTGATTTGGAAGTGCAGATCGCTGTCAATGACTGGTTTTGGAGTCAAGGCGAAAGCTTCTACGCGGAAGGCATCAAGAAGCTGCTGTAATGATACCAGAAATGTTAAAAAAAAGATGTGCAGACTACATCAAAAAGTAAGGTAAGGCCTACTCAATGAAAACTTAAAAATTCCTTGTTGATGTGATGTATAGAGGCGACAACCCGAGTCTTCAATAATCGACTCTCCGCGCATCCTGACCCCGGAGGTGGGCACGCGCCGACAGGAGGTTGTCTCTGTAAAATTAAGTTTACTCGCGGATCCTTCGACCGATTTTCAAAAACTTGAGCTTCTTTTAAAGCTTAGAGTATGCCTAATATGTGCTTTTTTACCGATTTGATTTATCTCGTTTCGCTCGGAAGATACAAGGTAGGGAACCTTACTTTTTGGATGACCCTCGTATATTAGAGTGCCTTCAGTTTCGTATGATACTGTGCAATACCTCTGGTGTGAAATAGTTGCTTCAGACGCCGTGGCACGCTGCGGCGCGGCGGGCGGGCAGCCAGCAGCGTGAAACGCGCATTGGCGCCTAAAAACCTAACAGGGATACTTCACGCGTTGCGCAATGCGTAAAGTATCCCTGTTAGGTTTGTAGGCGCCAGTGCATCGCCGCCTCGCTTTGTGTTGGGCTCTAATATTTAATCTGGCGGAGTCAGCGTTATTCAACTCATGATTTTGAAATGTTTGCACATCCTGTATGGATTATTCTCATTTTAATTGATGAAAAAAAAATATGTATTAAAGGAATATATAACGTGTGTTTTGTAAATATTAAGGTGGTTCCGTATCAAACTTAATAATTTCCAAAGCACACGAATTTCTACACAATTTCTTATAGCCTTTTGTAATCGATGGCGAAAAAGAAGCAGCCAGGCGATAAAGTGCAAAGCCCGACGATAGAAACTATAGCCCGGCTTCATAATTTTTTATCGCTTCGTATAGCCCGGCCGTATGATTTTCTCCGCATTCTACAGCCAGCTATATGATTTTCTGTAGCCTTCTTCAGCCGGCTATAAGAATTCCTATGGTATTTTGAAACACAGCTCCTATCGCCAATTTTTACCAGGGTTTTTAGGAGTAGAAATTCAAAAACGCGATAAGTGCCATCAAGTGCCGCTAAGATTGTGCAACTCCTTTTCGGAATGGACGAACATCTTGCACCAGAATCACAATTCTTGTCGGAAAATTATGATCATAATTTAGACAAAATTTATCTTCATGAATTGCATGAAACAAACCGAACGCACTTGGCCTTAGTTAGGCCACACTACAAATAGTAGAATCATGCCCAATCCCAAAAACACCTCATGGAGCTCACTAGGTTTTGAATTTCCGCTCTCTGCTGGCTGATTTTTAAAATTGATGGACAAAGTGTTAGACAAAGAATACATAAGGAGTACGGAGCAATCCTATCGTCCAATGAGTGATTCTGATGGACTAAGGGAGAAAATGATGGACTAACTAAAGGGTTTCCCGTGGGTCGCTGTTAATTAGAATATTAATTTACCTACCTCTTTTGTCCATTGCAACCACCCGCTTATACCAATAGGATCCCTCCACATCCGTTTTATCTTCTTTATCTATCGCTTTTTCTACCAATTTCAACAATCAGCACACGATTTTCCATTATCCGCGGAAGTTCTGGTCACAGTCACCGTGGAAACTCGAGACTCTGAGGCTGTACTTTGACTGTGGTTTTCTCGTGAATGGGAAATTTGAACACTCTGTTTACAGTGCAAACTTTCAACAACTTCTCTTTCATTTATGAGTTGATTACGGACCTTTTCAACATATTCGACGTGTTTTAGCCGAAATTTCCATGCAGAAATCATTTTTGCCCAGCCTCAATTTTCACCCTGTGCGTCTGTCCATTTTTAGGTGATTCATCAGTGATGGCCTTTAAAATTCAATTTTTTGACCCCAAGAATCTGAAAAATCGAATCGATTTTCTAGAGTCTATTCAAGGTCTGAATAGGTTTTTCGAACCGTCAAACTTTTTAACTCGAAACACAATGGACCACTAGACAAGGTACGAATTAAAGGACTCTGATACATGTTTCTAAACCAAAATTTCACGCAGAACACGATTCGCGCAACGAAAATGACTGAAACCAACTCCTAAACAAGATATTAATGTTTTTCTTTCACATTGGTTACAAGGAATTTGAACAGCCGGCTCACAAAAAACTCAAAGCTCTACGTGAGTCAAATCGCGTACTCCAACGGTTTCAGCAATCTTCTCAATCGAGCAATGTTCATTTCCCACCATGTGTTTTTCAAACTATAAGCAATTTGCTATAGTTGAGCCAAAGCGTCAAGATTGAGGTTGCCAGAATCTTATATCGCAGGGACTGTCATGATAAACGTTTAGCGCGCGATGTGAATCACGTAGAGCATTGAGTTTTCATGGGCGGGTGGTTTGAATTCACGCATAATGAATTATTGAATATCTTCGTAAGGAGTTGAATTCGATAATTTTCGCTGTGCGCATCGTGTTCTACGTGAAATTTTGGTCAAGAAGTATGTATCAGAATGCTGAAATTCGTACCTTGTCTAGTGGTCCATTTCATGTAATATTTCAGTGAAATTTCTAATCTTTGATTTCTTTCTTCTGTTTCACGGCACCCTGGCAGCATAGGGAAAAAAAAGGAGGTGTTTGCATTTCGGGCATGTTGGAATTTTTTGATGACTTGATGACGTAGGTGGGTACAGCTGGGTACAGCGACATCCCCTTCACGCTGTACCCACCTACGTCATCAAGTCATCAACAAATTTCAAGATGCCCGAAATGCAAACACCTCCTATTTTTTCTCTATGCCCTGGCGGTGAGTAAGTGGGTGTTAATCTGGTGTGTGGATTTTGTGTTGCAGGCTGATGCGATGATGGAGGAGAAGTGCGGGTTGGGGGGAGTCGGCGGGGGAGTGGCGGTGGGCCGGATGATGGGCGGCACGAAGGTCTCGCAGATCGCGAAGACGTTCCAGTCGCCGCCGGGGCCCGGGCCGCGGGACGGGGCCGCCGGGACGCCGGCCACGACCCCGGGCGCCAACGGCGACGTCCGCGCCAAGCGGGAGCAGTCGGCCTCGCCCAGGGACGAGCGGGAGCGCCCCGACCCCAGGGACCCCAAGTCCCTCGCCGAGTCCCCCGTCATCGTCACCGTCGTCCGCACCGAGAGCCACGTCGCCCGCTTCAACAACGCCCGCGCTCTCTTCGAGAAGCTCGGTGAGTACCACAACTCTCCCGTCCTAAGGAACAACGCCGTATCAACATTCGAGAGTCGTCAAATTTCATTCGATAAAGTGTTTATTTTTGAGGAAAATTATTAATATTTTCCCTTGATATTCTCACGAACTTGAGGTGAAATTGCGAGTAAAATTATCTAAAAAATCGAAAGGAAAATTTTCATAAATTTACCAGGAAATTTGGCAACGCCTGAAGGTTTATATACGGCGTTTTTCCTCAGCACGGCAGAACAGGGTATCTAGCATCAGGATTTTCCCGATTCTATCAGGATTTCAGGTCCATCAGCATTGAGGAAAAGTCGGTCGTAAAATCAGGATTTGAGAAAAGTCGGCTGTCCGATCGGATTTTTTTTTTATGCTTTCGCATAAGCTCATGCAGAAATTTCAATTTTTCTCTGCAAAAAATCAGGATTTGGAAAAATTATGAAATCAGGATTTAGCAGTCAAAAATTAGGATTTCTCAAAATGAAAAAAAAAAACCAGACACCCTGCACGAAATTGACTACATTTTTCAATCAGGAACTACAATGTCAGCTTCAGAAAAGGAACAACGTCGATGCAATCAGTCTCCCTATGTTTTTAAACGGATGAGCCAGAAATTGTAGTTCCTAATTGTAAAATGCAGTCCGAATACAGGGTCGCCACAGTCAGGGAAAACCGAAAAATGTCACGGAATTTTGAAAAGTCAGGGAAAACCTGGAAATGCCAGGAAAAATGATGAAAATCTCAGGGAAAAATTGCTAAGTCGCCTTTTTTTCCTTTTTAGAATGGGTTTGACATTTCGAACAAATTTTTAATTTTGGGCCTACTTAATTTTAATGTCGGCCTACCTCCTTGTTGAAACTTGGAAAAATCAGGGAACCTTTTTTCCTGATCTCGAGACCAGGATGGTTTATCCTGACTTTCTTTTATTAGCAGCAACATCGTCAGATGCGAAGAGAAACTAAGCAAAATCTTCAAGCAATTCAATTTGCGAGTTTACTGGGATACTAGACTCCCAATCGTTTTTTACCAGAAATCCATTCCGACCAGGAGCCATCCAGCAAGAAATGGAACTAAATGAAGTATTTTCCAGTGTCATGCCATTTTATATTGTTGTTACAGTCGGCATTGTATTATTTCAGGGGAAGAAAATAGGTCCAAGGGTGTCGACCGAAGTTCGAGAGTCTCAAAGCAAGATGTGCGCTCCCGATCAAGCTCCACAAACTCTTCATTGGGAGATGATCCGCCCTCGCGGACATCCCATAAAACAGCCTCATGTTCCTCTATTCCCTCCATGATTAATTCTCGATCTCCATCACCTTCTCTCAGTGCCAATTCACCAACAGCTAATCATGTAAGTCTTCGTTATTTATTATGACAAAACCATTAGCCAATATTTCTTTCTTCATCAAAACCTGGAATATATAAAGTATGTAAAATTTTAAAACATGTAAAGAGTAAAACAGATGTAATCAGACGTTTTTATTTAAAGTAAAAAGAATCTGTTCCTATTACACGCTTGAAGTTTCTTGTTTTTGAAACGAACAAACTGAATTACTTTGCTAATAGGAGTCGTTTTGAGGTCAGTTTGTTCTGTAAAGTTACGAACCATTTAAGCATTTCCAATGGTCTGGAGAAGTCTGTGACGTTAGATTCTTAATAAATTGTTATTGCTACCATTAATAATTCTCCTCTTTTCAGCTAACATTCAAAAAATACTTTTTCCTCATATTTTTTTATTATCATTCTTACAACTCACCTTTTTTTTTATTTTAATTTCAATGAATCAACAGTTTTAATAAAATCTGATTGTAACATTCAGAATGGTGTATCAAATGGTCATGGAGTTCACCTCAATGGGAACTGCAATGCAGCGGAACTCAGGCACCCAGCTGAAGAGCCAGTCACGCCTCCTACAACTAACACCCAGAAGTTCTCCAACCGTGCTTCACCTTTTATGAATGGTTCAGCTGAAAAGCAGTCAAGACCAGACAAACCGGAGCGAAAGCTGAATAGCAGAGAACTCATAGAGAAGCAGAGGAATTGGACCTCACATTTTTCCAAGTCTAGAAGCAGCACATCAAGGTAAAATTTTAACTGGTGAAGTCCTCTACTCACATTTCATTTCCAAATATCTATACTAGGTCTGCTATTTAGTTTTTGAAACTTTTAAAGCATCGCATTAAGTCAGTTGAAAACTGTCTGAGACCTATTGTAGGTACAGAACTCCGTATTGAATAGAGGAAAGCTAAATCGTCACATTTATATTGCGGTGTTTCAAAATCTCATCTCTTATTGAAATTTTTAAAAGGAAACCAACCACGTTTTTGCTTAAAATTTTGTAGAAGTAACCTTCACATGGGCAAGAAAAATTACAAACATTTTCTAGTGGGAATGTTGGTTGCTTTTTTTCCAGAAAATTATGATTGGAGATGAGATTTTTGCAATGTAGATGTGACTATCAAGCTTTCAACTCTATCAAATTAGATCAATATACCTTTAAATTTCACGTACAGTTTTTTTAGCAGAAACCTCATCCTAAGTTACATTCAGGAATGCAAAAAAAAGAGGAAAAAAAATTTCTCACCGACAGAATTGTGAAGAAAATTTTTTCAACCAGACAATATGAATAATTGTGTTATGGGGTAGTCATTGCGAAGGGTTAAAAAATGAAGATAAACTTACATTTGATGTTTTTATTCAAAGTTTCTAGTCCAAGCTGTTCGGGTTTGGCCATCATCAGAACTTTTTCACAGGAATTAACAATCTAGTACTGTACATGAATTTGAATGAAAGAACATTATTATGAGAGGAGCTTGATATTTGTGGCGGTCTATGAAGCTCCTTTCATACTAATGTTTGTTCAATTCAAAGTCATGTATAGTACTAGATTGTTCATTTCCGTGAAAAAGTCCTGATGATGGCCAAACCCGAACAGCCTAGACTAGAATCTTTGAATAAAAACATCAAATGTAAGTTCATCCTCAGTTTTTAACCCATAGCACTGTCTGTCCCACAACATAATTACGTAAAGTGACACTGCCGAGAAATGTTGTACATCAAAACATTAAAAAATTGAATAAATTACAGAAAATATTGATTCATTTGAAATGCTTGAAATTTCACCTTAAAAAAGCTACGGCTTCCCAAATTCCCCTGCCTTTCCAAACACAAACTGTCTTAAAGTATTTTTTGCATCCCCAATGTAGCTCTAATCAATAACGGTGACTTCTAGTCACTTCGTGTTTATCATTTCTGAGGAATTTTTCTTTTCCTTGCTTAGCTACTTGTTATGTCAAAGTTAATCCCATTATTTGCCTTCCATTCATGAGATATTTTCATTGTTTAGTCTATACCCAATCCGATTGCCTCTTTGCCTGAGGTAAACACTCCTATGATAGCAATGAAGCTTTTTTTCATTAATTTCAAATTCATTATTTGTCCAGGTCCAACAGTGATCCAAGTAAATTCGACCTGAAAACAACGCCGCTGCGAACGCCTGTCGATAACTCGGCTGCTGCCGTCAGGAGTTCATCCTTTACCTCTCCACGTTTACGCTCCCCTCCACCATCCTCGCCTCCTCCCCCACCGCCAAGTAGCCGTTCGCCAGTTAAACTGTCTCGCACAACAGAGTCAACCAAAGCCACGCTGCCCACGCCAAAGTCCCATGATAAAGAAACATTAGAGGATAAGGAGGCTCATTCACCTTCGAAGTGCAAGTGAGTTAGCCAATAGATCTTTTAAAAAATCAAATCGTAATGGTTTATTTAATTTCAAAATTTGTTTAAAAATGGTATGAACCTTCGAAATTCAATTTTTTTCATTCAATCACTACTTAGCGGTAAATTCGAAAATGTACAGCAACAAAGCTAAAATGCTCAGAGCAAGGTTGCTTAACCTGAGGAGCCTCTTATCGGGTCGGATCTCTACTTAAATTCTAACTAGTCATTAAATATGGCTGTATTCTGTTATTTTTCATCTTTATTGTTTATAATTTTTTTTTTTTGAGAAACTGAAAAGTTTATATTAAAATTCTGAAGAAAAAGCACAAGTTTTACAAAAGATTAGTCACACTGCGCCTGAAGGGCTGAATAGGCGTTACGTGGAGCTCACACGGGTCGAAGGTGGAATAGACCCAGAATAACGGGCAGCACGCGCTTTTATAGACTTGATGATGTGCCGGGTGGTGAGATATAAAGTCTATACGCGATTGGCTGGCTATAATCAGTGGAGCTGTCAGTTGCAAGTCTAGTCATTAATTTTATGGGTGATGGCTGGATGATAGTATTGAAAAGATGAAAAATGAATAGAATGCAGCCATCCTTAGTGACTAGTTAGAATTTAAATGAAAATGAAGTTCCAGGGATTACAGGGATCGCAGGACCTGTGACAGGGAGCTTGTGTTTATAGTGAAATTGAAGAGGAGCAAAAAGCTAATTTTGAACGGCTCAAGTTCCTTGCACAGTCATATTTATGAGACTCAAAATCCACTTTCTTATTATTCTCCTTTAAAAATATGATTTACAGGAATTTTAAATCTAGCAAGTATGAGATGGTTTGTTAACTATTGCGATTCTTACAAAAACCCATAAAAAACGAGGCTTGTATTTAGAAAAGGTTGTTACTTTTTTTTCTTTTTCCTAATGCACCATCTATACTATAAGCTCCGTATTTTCTCAATGTATATGATACAAATGTTTCCCGCCTCCAAAGATTCCAGGGTTTTTTCTTTTAAACAACATAATTGTAAAATATGTTTTGTTCCAGGAATGAAAGTGCAAGCTCCCCTGTAATCAATGAAGAAGCTCCAGCCAGTAAGTATTTGCTCCATAGAGTATCTGAACTTAATCAGCTGTTTCTTGTAGATGTCTCCTCTTTTTCTGTCAAATAAATATTAATCAAATAAATAAATACAAAATTTTGTATGAAATTCTTTCGAACCTTGGAATTTAGTTTTTCAAGTTGATAAAGTCGATGTACATAATTTATTACCCACCCATCCTTCTAACTACAAGGTTCAAAAATTGTTAAATGACCTCTCAGATTATCTCTCTTAATCCCCAAAGCAACAGGAGACCTCTCATCCTTGAGCCTAGTCCTTTAAAGCTCTTATGAATTTATCTCTCTGAGACCTGAAAAAATAAAAATAAATAAAAAAAAAAAAATCACTATTTGCTCCAATGAACCTATGAAATTTGTACTCCCCAAGTTGTTTAAAAATAAAGAAGGGACTAAATTTAATGCAGTCAGAAAATCAAGGGTACATCTTTTCAATTGAGTTTTTGCGCAAGTTCTCCTGGCACAGAGCCCAGTGGGGGTTGTCTGGTTGTCATCAGACCAAGATAAACTTCTTGATATTTATTTTTAGCATCTCTTCCTTATCTTCTATTTATCTATTAGTCTATGTCAGCTTCCAGCAGGCTGCTTTGCCTCTCCTCAATATGTCCTCGGTGAATTTTGTGCTTTTTACCTTCTTTCTCAGTATTCCTTTTAGAATTGAAATAGAAGTGATTTTCATAAACTTAAGGAGTGATCTTTGTTCTTAATTTTTTCAAGTACTTCTATTTGTATGTAGAGTCTCCTAAATTTTTTTCTTTTTTATGCTCTATCCTGATGTGCCTTCACGTTTTATGTCACTATTGTACTCGTAAGTAATGCTCCCAATAGTGCTTAGTTGTTATTGGTATCGGCACCAGAATGCTCAGTACAAGATGTGGTGTTAAAAATGTCTGCCTCTGGGTTCTTCACTTTTTCTTTTCCTCCAAACTTAAATGTTAACTATACTTACTTACCTATACCTAACTATACTTGTATACCTACTTTACTCTCCAATCTGTGTCATTGTAACTTCTTGAGATACTTCTGTGAGGGAAATACAGCTTCAGGTTCAAAGCAAACTAATTATCTTAGATTTTGTTTCAGTGAACAAATCAGTTTCAGCTTCAAGCCAAGCCAGTTGACTTATTGAGAGGTTACAATAAGATTTGCTCCGATTATCATTTACTTGAGCCCAAGATAAAGCTCCCATGAAAATTACAAACGCACAGCTCTTGTTTCTGTTTAAAAATCCTGCAGTAATTTCTCTTGCCCATTTTGTGTCAGACTTTGTACGTTGACTAGTTGACTTACCGCTGTCAAAACCATAAAAATTGCAAAATTAGCAAAAATCAGGAAAATTTGAAGTACAACTGCAATCAATTATTATAATTATACTGTAATTAAGAATTATATGTTCAACTGTACAATAATATAAAAATGCTGCAACAAAGCAGTAGATTATGGTGCAAAATAATTTTTAGTTCACACTTACTCATATACACATTGAAGAGAATGCCCTCCATTGCAAAGTTACTATCGTAAACATTGATGACAAGTTGAATGACAGCTCTGACTCAGTGGTGCAGCATGTACAGCTCAAAGCCATCGCTTTAAGTCAATGCATTAAATGGCATGCCCCTTTCTAGTCCCTGTTGATTGCTTTTTTACAATACTTTTTATCCTACTTAACAATCGCTCAGTAACTCTTGACTTCCCTTATTTTGTTGAACTGATTGAATGAATTTTGGAATAAAGGGCAATACAGCTCAACTTTGCTTAAACCAATAAATGTATATTATTTTGAGGTTTCTGATCCAATTCACTTGTTTTTTCCAGGGCATATAAGTGTCGATGATGAGAGGCAGCCGGAAGAAGACTCATCTAAATCTCCTGCTGATTACACTCAAACTTTGAGGAGGTCCAAAAAAATGGTGTCCTCTGTTAGAGTAACCTTGGGTTCCCCGCAGACCCCTGCACTAGTCAGTTCTTCCCCAACCCAAGGACACAATGCACCTGTGGCAGTAAGTGTAAATAGTTTTTAAGTAATATTGAAATTCAACTATTCAATCCAAATAATTAATCCTCCCAGATTTATTTCTGAGATTGAATTTTTAATAACTTATTAAAAGTATGCTGCAGAGGTATGTAGTCGATGGGCCAAATAACGGAGATGATATTCTCTTAACAGGTCATTTTTTAAAGGATAAATATCTTAGCAGGCATCTTGAGAAAGCCTTATCTCTTCAGACACCAAAGCACCTACTATATAGAAAAAGTTCAGACACTCTGAAAAAGCAAGGTTTTTAAAAGATCAATATAGAAATTCGAAAAACGTTTCAATTTTCTGTGAAAAGGTCCAGATTTTCATAGATTTTGCAGTGAACTAAAATAGTAATTTCACAGCACATAATCATATTCCCATCACAAATAGTCCACTTCTGCGTATTTCGGTTATTCTCTCCAGCATTCCTGCATACTACTTTCTGATTTCAAATTTCTCAACTATTTACACTGAATGTTGAAAAAGTTATCCTTATAAGTGTCTGAGGAAAAAATTCTGTCCCTCTTAGAATTACAATTTTTATAAGGTTAGGAAAAAGTGAGGAAAGGGTAATGATATGAAAAGATTTTAGGCAACTCCCGTTAAGAGGAATTTTTGGAGAAATAAGAAAGTAAGTGACCATAAAGTTATCAAAAACCTAACTCGAGGTTAGATTATTAGTACTAGGAAACACCCTGAGAGATGAAAAGAAATTGACCCCACATCTCAACATGACGTAAACATTTTTCAAGAAGTTTTCAAGTCGGTTAAAAAATTAGTTTTTCCTATTATCTATGAAAGTATCTCTCAATTCATTCTAAAGTTGTCTAGAAATTCAGTCATCAGTAGCAAAGCGTGAATCAATACCCACGATATTTTCCCATTTTAAACTAAACAATTGCAGCAACAAATATGGTAAAACATTGATTATCAAGGCGTTCGCTGAAAACACCTCGATAATCGATCCTTTCCAGTTAGTGTAAATGGCAAAAATAAATCAATACATCTCAAAACATGCCTTGCTATCGATGATTTAGAAAGTGATATTTCTATGTATGAGTGGTTTAATCATCTCATTTATCTATTGCTAAATATTTTTTTCCAGATTTTGCAATTATTTTAGCATAGATTTTCTAATTCAGCATTTTTTTCTGTTACAGAGTCCCATTGAGAAAGCCCAAACAAAGAGCAGCATGAATGATAGTAGCAAAGTTGAATCCTCCAATTCAGTATTAGATAGCACAGCAGACAGCCTTTTGTTAAGCAGTGATAATGATAATAGTGTACAGACCTCTAATTTAAATAGCTCGGAATCAAAAATTAATGCAATAAATATAGCCTCTAGTTTAGATAGGTGTTCGTCAAACGACAAAATTTATCCCACAGAGTCTTCTTCGCATTCTGTCTCTGAACAAACAGACCGAAATTCACAGCTTGCAGACCCTATGAATTTCTGCTCTGAGTCCGTTAGCCCTATATCACGGACCACAAATCACCATCCTCAGACAGTGAACCCTTCATCTCAATTAGCAGAAGCGGTTTCTCAGTCAGATGACAATGTGCCAAAGTCCCCAGATCAATTATCACAGTCAACGGATAATGTCCCGCAGGCAGAGTCCAACAGCCCGAGCAAGCCGAATGTGCATTTCAATATTGGGTCTGACCTGAATGGTGACCTCTTAAGATCAACTACAACTATGTGCAGTAGTTCGATAAGTGAAGAGGACTCAGGATTCGTTAGCTCAGAGGCGAATCTTGGAACATCCTTCACTTTTGATCCAGATGTGAAAGAGGTAGATGGCGGGCTCCAGATCAATGACTTGAGCATACAGTATCTGGACGATGATGTTGAGTCTTCATCTTCAGATAATCCGCAGCGGAGATATGAACATGATGATATTGTGAGTATTTTAAACGAGGGTGAAATTGTGATCTTAAGTGTTTAAAAAACTATGTTTCCCATTCTAGAATGAGATATTATTTCAATACTTTAGAGTTGTACAGGTTAACATAATGGCATTTAGCTTGAAACATGATCACAGTAAGTTTTTTTGGCTTTTAAACAGGTTCAATTCGAAACTGCTGGACTTTATTCATTTGGCATTATTTTTCTGGCAGAGTTTTCATTCGCATCTTAAACATCAAGAATTAAGATGTTTGGAAATTTCCACAAAAGTTTTTCTAGAAGCACATGGAAGTCAGCAAAAATGTTTTCCATCTAGATGATTAATCTGCACCAATCTCGAGGGTGCCCTCAAAAAAATCCCTCCTCAGTAAATTTTAGACTGATATCCTAATGTCGTCACCCTCCAGCCAGAATATCCCATGTGGCATTTCTGATTAGGCACAATATTCAAAGATACTAGAAAGGACTTATAAGATTTTCCTTTACATTATCCCAAGAGGTTTATACATTAGCAAATACAATAGGTCTTTGATGGCTCCAGCTCTTGGAACCTGGTCTGCCAGTGCCACCTTAGCAATAAATAAAAGAAGTTGTTTCATTTCTCACTCGAAAGAAAATACTGCTGTGTACATTTCTGGAACTGAATCATCTAAGGATAGTTTTTATATTTTTAGGTTGAAGGTTTGGCAGAAGATGGTGAAGTTGAAGAAGAAGTTTCCAAACCTAATCATTTGAGCAATCCCGAAACAACGGAGCCAAACATAGTTTGCAAAAGTATCTCAAATGTAGAGGAAGTTCCGTCTACACCAAACTCCCATTCTCCTGCGTTAGACGTCAGTCAGCAAACTCCAGATCGACCAGCACCCTTAGACACAAGTTTGATGACCCCTGATGAAGCAGATAACCTTCTAAGTACAAGGTAAGTCTTAGTCGAAGAGCTGTTAACTCTTATGAACTGACTTTATTTAGCTAACCTGATGCAACCATGAACCCGTTCATTGATGAACCCGTTGTCCTCTAAAAAATAGAAATTTCAATCCGATCTTTGATTTATTCATCAGAAAGTAGATTCTCATAGTTTTAAAGCTTGTCAGTTATTTTTTGTGTTAATTTTTCTTTAATCCTGCATCAATATCTTTTGTGGCTTTCTGAAGTTTAGCCTATATCTAAAATTTTAGTGGAATCAATTTTTAAAGTATTTCTGTTCCCCCCAATAACGCTTGAAGATCAAAATCAAAGCATCTTAAGTCTGGATGGAAATAGATCATGACCTTATAAATTTTTTTTCTTCTTCATACTCTTTATTTTTTCTTTATGCTTTTCTCACCACTTAATTTGGAGCATGATAATGTAGGGCTGATAGCATTATCGTTGATTGTGACGTGTATGTATATTCTAGGAGTTAATTTGGGATTTTGCAAATGAGGCAGAAGTGGCTCGATTGAACTTAGGCTTTATTAAAGACACATAAAACAGGCAAAACAGAAATAAGTGCAGGAACTTTTCTCATAACAGACCACTAGACAATGTACGAATTTCAGCATTCTGATACATGTTTCTTCACCAAAATTTCACGTTAAACACGATGTGCACAACGAAAATTACCGAAATCAACTCCTTCCAAAGATATTTAATGATTCTTGGTGCGTGAATTGAAACCGCCCGCTCATGAAAACTCAATGCTCTACGCGATTCACATCGCGCGCTAAACGTTATCATGAACGTCTCTGCGATAAAAAAATCTGGCAACCTCAATCTTGACGCTTTGGCTCAGCTATAGCAAATTACTTATAGTTTGAAAAACACATGGTGGGAAATGAACATTGCTCGATTGAAAAGCTTGCTGAAACTGTTGTAGTGCGCGATTTGACTCATGTAGAGCTTTGAGTTTCTTGTCAGCGGACAGTTCAATTCCTCGTAACCAATGTGAAATAAAAACGTTAATATCGCCGTTAGGAGTTGGTTTCAGTAATTTTCGTTGTGTGAGCCGTATTTTATGTGAAATTTTGGTTAAGAAACATGTATGAGAATGCTTAAATTCGCACCTTGTCTAGTGGTCCATTCTAAAAACCTATTCTGCAATCATTACAAGTTCCTTACTAGTTTATCAGTTTCCAGAAAACTCTCTATTATGAAATTTTATTTGTACAACAGGTAGCCAGCTTCAGTTAATAAAAATCCTAATGTTCTCTTAAATATATGGAAGCCAAGGAATGGAGATAATACATAAATTCGCAAATATAACATACATAATACACACATGATGCGGCTTATTTTCCTGTTTCTTGATTTCCCCCCCCCCTTTTTTCTCTCTTTGTTTAAATATTTTGGAATGGACCTTTCACTATTTATTTTCGTTTTAGTCTTCTACCCTATTGCCTGCTTATGATAATATGGTCTCATTTTTTTTTGTTTTGTTTTGTCCTCTTTGTTATGTCGAAATTTTCATTTTGCTGCTTGAATTGCCTCTGAATGTTCCTCTCCACAAGAATTCTATCAAAAAGGTAAGTTGACAGTGTTAAATTTTATTTATTGTCACCAACCATAGAACATCATTTAATGGGAGGTAAATGAAACTATGAAAACCAATCTTGATCAACTGAAGCTGTTAAAGAGGTTTGATCATGTGTGGAGGTGATTTTAGATGAAAATGATTCACCAAGCTAGACAATAAATTTAAATTGATAACTTGATACTCCAGATCAACTAGATATGATGCATTAATTGCTTCACATGCATCACTGATGAAATCAAAAGGAAACAGACCTTGGCATGCAATACTGTGGTAGATGACTTTATTTACTTTATTTTTCAAAGGATGTTGTTGCTATATTTTTTTTAAATTGCACGCAGAAATTTGACATTATGATGGGTGGTGTGTATAGTTTTTGCTGATCAATAGATTCTAGGCGTCAATTCTAAGTTCTAGCACCGATGACATATTCTCATATTCTGTGCCTCTTATTTTTTAAATAATATTGATGTTTCGTCATGAAGTCCTCAAACCTTTGAATTGAAACCTTTAGAATCTCATGCCTGTAAATGATTGCCGAATGACTTTAATATCACATCTTCAAGCTCATCGTAGAGTTAATGTCTTGTAGGATGTAGGGTTGTGATTACTTAACGTTTAACTAGAAGTATGCAGAAGATAGAGGGAGGAATCACATTCCAACATGCAATAGGCAAATTCTCTTATCCTAATAGACAGAACTTGGCCCGAGGGTTTTTGTCACAAAGAAAATGCTCTTCCTTTCATAACCATATAGATGATCCCAACAAATACTAAAGTAAGTACTTTGATTCAAAAGGCTACCGCAACTTCTTTCTAAATCACAAATACCAGCATTTAAGGATGTACTCACAGCCACAAGGTCCTTACCTTAAGGTGATTTGATGGACGCTATATTTTGTGTCAGAATGGCATGCGATATATCGCATCAATTGGTTCCATTTTTTCAGCTACTCGTCATTTTTCTCCAATTTGGAGATCGCAATTCTGTTGTCAGGAGACTAAAGCACTCACTTACCAATTTTAACAAAGAAATTCAGTGTAATAAAGGCGTGGTTTTTTTAGGGAGAAAATATCGCATTCGAGCACAGTTTCGATATCAGTATTGAATGCGATGTTTTCTCTCTATAAAAACCACGCCTTTATTACGTTGAATTTCTTCGTTAAAATTGATGAGTTAGTGCTTTAGTCTCCTAACAACAGAACTGTGATCTCAAAATTTGAGAAAAATGACGAGTAGCTGAAAAAATGGAACCAATTGATGCGCTTTATCGGATGCCGTTCTGACACAAAATATGGCGTCCATTGAATCACCTTAAGGCAAATACCTATCATGTTATAGCTAGCCTGATTATTCTTCAGTCCTCCGAAGGAAAGAGTCTCATCAAGAGAATTTTATTTTCATTCTGTTTGTTACATCCATTTTCTCTCTATTGCAGGGGTGTGTTGGAAAGACTGCTGTCAGATGAAGAAGCACAGGAAGTAGTCCGACTTCTCTCTCCAACACCAGACATATCAAGTACCTTGCCAGAAAAGTAAGTTTTCAATACCTATTAGATGTCAGTGGTCTCATCTTCTATAAATTATGATGAAACAAGAATTGTAGATTTGAAATAAGGTGCAACGTCCAAAAACAAGATTTTATACTCAATTCTAAAATGTCCAGAGGCTTAGTTCTGAACCTTTCTAGTTATTTTTAAAGCCATTCTATAATCAGATTTTTTACATCTCTTCTCTAATAAGTCCCACTATTTTTTGTTTAAACTAGGGCCCATCAACTGTCGATACCCGCAAAAATCATGGAAATCGGCCCAGTAGAACGCTCAACCAAACTATGACAAAAAATATAAGTTTACATTGTTGAAATGGGAGACTTCGCAACTTTACCACGTCATATAAAAAAACCTGGGTAATATTTTGAAAATCTGAATAGAGCGGGCTCATGTAAAGACAATTAACCGACGATAGCCCCAAAAATCATGAAAATTGGCCCGGTAGAAAGCTGGAACTAAGCATTACCAGTTATGCAAAATTAGGAGATCTCGAAGCTTATAGTATAGATATCCTTATGAACATAGAATGGGATGTAGGATTACCTGAACCAGTTACCATATTATTTTTATGTTCAATTTCTGCTCTTAGGACACCACATGACTCAATTACTGAGGATTCCAAATGTACATTCATAGACTCAACATCAAACATAGAAGACTCAGCGGTTTCAAGTCACGTAGAATCTGAGTATGGGTCAGAAACAAATCTGCAGGACCTAAATTCAAGTAGAATAAGCTCTGTGAATAGCTTAGACGATTTGGATCTCACGCGCTCATCACACTTGGAACAAAATGAGCCCCCGCCGGTAGCTGAGCCAGAAGCAGAACCTGATCTCTATGAAGGGTTCGTCCCTGAAGCGTGCAAAGAAGTAAGTTGTTTTCTCAAAATCAAATAAGGTGCTTAAGTTACTTCATTCCTCCATTATGTTCACAGCCATTGTCGTGTTCTCATTGCCAACGCATTGCCAGGATGAGACTGTTACATGATTGAGGATTAACTTTGAAAATAGGTGTCCCCTTGACTAATTTTCGCCAGGAATATTTTTCTGGACCATGAATAAAGATCAAAACAACTTTTCAAGTGAAAGAAAGATACTGGAGTACTAAGTATAACATCTATTGGCTAGCCAGTTGTGACATCCCATGTAGCAGTGACTCATAGTTGCGACAATCTTGAGTCTCCTAAGCTTGCAGAATGCTACTTTGCCAGCCAGGTCAATCAAAACGTGGCAGAATTTTTTTCAAACGTCTGCACTTCTTTACTTTACTATTACACTTTATGTATTTCATTGATATCAACATCCCAGATCCACCTATTCCAAAAAAACTTTACCATCAAACCAAATTTTATATGACTTCCATAACTCTCTTCATTCAGCTTTGTAATTTTTTCGAACGTTTTATTTTTACAATTTCAAAGGTTTTTGAAGAAGATGGCGTGCATTATTATGAAGATGGACATTTTTGGATGGAGGTTCCTGGTTTACCCAGCCAATCTGTCTATGAAGAGGGCGATCCAACACCAAGTAAACCTAGTTCCAAAGTATCCTTCAGCACCGGGCCAATTAAGGTAATTTATTCATTTATTTATTAAAAAAGCGAACTAAAGAAAGTCCTTGGTCAGAATTTTGTTGGCTGTGGTCAGTCCCTCATGAAGTAAATATAACCTACAAAGCAGCAGTGTCAGCCATTCGCAGAGGTTACAATCGATTTATTGGCGCCTGGAGCTGGTTGTAATTTTCAAAATGTTGATCCAAAAAATCGGGCTCTAGAAATTCTATTGTAAACTAGAAATTGTGTAACATGATCATCGTTGTAGTGTCTTATCGTTTTTCCCCTTTGCCATAATACACACAAAGGAATAATTTTAAATTATTTGTGCTACCAATAAAGACAGGCGAAGCAATATTAATTGTATCAAAATGTTCCTACGTCACAACAAGCATTTCCTAAATTTTGAAAGACAGTGTGCCTGCATATCTTTGATGACACTGCGGAAACGATCTTCTAAATGTTGTTTGTTTTTACTGGTCCCAAGGCTCCTGCTAAATCCACTGACACAAATGGATTTTACTGGTGTTTCATCTTTTTTTTTAATACATGTTCTCCAAATTGTTTATTGTGAATAATTTATTATCATTTTATTTCAGGTTTATAGCACATTTTCCATGTCTGAATACGATCGACGAAACGAGGATGTGGATCCTGTAGCAGCCTCAGCTGAATATGAGCTTGAAAAGCGAGTGGAGAAGCTGGAGCTCATGAGCGTGGAATTGGAAAAGGGAGCATCTGGTCTCGGTTTGATCATCATTGGAATGGGTGTTGGTGCGGATGCTGGACTCGAGAAATTGGGTATCTTCGTAAAGATGCTTACTGAGCAGGGTGCAGCCGCAAAAGACGGTAGGATCCAGGTTAGTAGAGACAAAATTCAAGTATGGTTACGTTATCATTGGATATTTTCTTTGGTTTGGGATCAGGCTAGCAAACAGGATTTTTCCCTAGAAATCCTGGCTGAAACCTAATTTTTCAGAGAACCTTGATGGAGAGGCACATACCCTGTTGTACTAAGGAAGAACGCTGTATAAGCATTCGAGAGTTGCCGAATTTCCCGTGATAAAACATGTATTTTTGACAACATTCATGCATATTTTCCCATGACATTTTCAGATATTTTAAATTAAATTGCGTACAAAATTGTCTGAAAATTTTGAAAAATAATATTTGTGATTTTCCCAGTAAATTCGATTTTTATCGGAGGAAACTTGGCAACGTCTAAAGGCTCATATGGCGATATTCCTCAGCACAGCAGTACAGTAGAACCTCACTAAGTCGGAACTCACTTTAGCTCGGTAACCATTCGAAATTCCAGAACAAAATAATATGTCCGTTTAACTGGAAAACCCTGCTGAGGTGGAATGAATCCTTAATCCTGATGCATTCGAACTTAGCAAGGCTCTACTGTACATGTGGGTTAGGGTGAGACTTATTTGTTCAAATTGACCAAACCAAATGTTGCATGGGTTTAAATGGTTCTATGTGATAAAAAAACATGGCAGCTAGGATTTTGGAAAAAGATAATTTTTCACCCGGCGCGCACAGGGCCTAAAGATCGTTATTTTCCCGATTTTTTTGGCATTTTAACCGTCTTTTTTTGATATTTTACAATTAGTCAGTGGCAAAGATTTGATGCTAGGTGTTCCAAAATTGGTCCAAACCTAGCACATACCTTGCAGGTTAAGGGAAAATTTTTGTTTTTCTCCTAGATCACTCTCACTTTGGTTGGTAACGCCCAATCATTCCGCTCGGTAGCTCTAAAAATCCAAATTTCACAATTATTAAATGTATAATGAACTTTTTGAGCAGTAAAAATCCAAAAATTTGTGGAAAACAAGTCCATACCATCAGTGTAGAATGGCAAATTTCAAAAAACTCTTAAATCGCTTATTTTTTGTCAAGCGATGCCTGCTATGGCGGAAAACTCGTCAAAAACAGCTGCATTTTGACCGTTTTTTCGCTTTGGAAAATTTATTGGACACCCTGCAATGACAATGTAGGTCCGAAACTTTGTGGAAAGTAAGTTCATACCGTCTATATGAAATAAACAATTTTACTTGGTTCCTACGTCTTACATTCTTTGTCCTGCGATGCCCGAAACGGCAGCAAAAACGTCAAAAACACCTTTACGTTAAGAAATTTAAATGCTAAATTTCTGTAGTCACCTAGAATCAACCACCTAAAATCGAGAAATCTAGAAGCCACTTTGTAAACAAGTAATTTATTGAATCCTGGTCATTTTATGATCACAACTTGTGTACAGTCATTGTAGTGGAAGTATTTTATTTTTAGGTCAGTGACCAGATCATTGAGGTGGATGGAAAATCCTTAGTAGGGGTAACGCAGGCATATGCAGCATCAGTTCTGCGAAATACATCTGGCAAAGTGCGATTCATCATCGGCCGTGAAAAGGACCCGGAAAACAGTGAAGTTGCGCAGCTAATCCGGCAGTCGTTGCAAGCAGATCGAGAGCGCGAGGAGCATAAACAGCGGATGGAGCGCAGCCGCAATGCTCAATACAATGGTGACCTCTCCGGTGGTTTCATGAATGAAGCACACAAGCAGGCAACGATCGGGAACAACGCTCAGCAGTTACAAGAACTCCTCCAAGATGTGAGTGTTAGCTCCTCTTACCGTTTTTTTAAAATTTACTGGAATGGCCCCCAAGGCTTTATGTCAGTTAGACAGTCAAAGGATTTGTTGACTTTTATTGTTTCTAAATAGTAGTAAAATATTATGTACTAAGAACAGTCGCTATCTTCAGAAAAAAGAACTCAGGTGTTGGAAGAAGCAGTACCGAGAGGTTTAACTAAACAGTTCAAGAAATATTTTCCTAAGATAAGTCATCAAAAGTTTCAATCCAAAATTAGTTTATAAGGATTAGATCTACCAAATTTAGGGCTTAACTTGTTCAATGTCAATGCAGGTATTGACAGCGTTTTCATTAGTTGCCCCAGGTTCTAAAGGCCTCAATGACCGACATTTGAACAGAAAGTTTTCATCAAGTTGCTGTATTCACAGGGGCGACGTTCGCACGTTTTTCAAGGAACTCACTGTAGAGTAATAATGTTGTATGTAAACCTTAGGAAGCCTCACCATTGTGGCAATTGGTGAAAACCATGGGTTGTAGTTTTCAAATCTTGCCGCTTTTCCGGACGTTTTGCCGGCCGGACAGGAAAATTTCGATGAAGATACGTTGGCAATGAATTTCTTTAAGTAATGTGGTTAAGATGCAACTTTTTTTCCAAAATTTTGCAAAATTTTTCGAAAATTCCAAACCTACGAGGTCTTTTAGATAAGAAACCGGATTTTGATGATAACTAGCTTATTGTGTGTCGGAATTAGGTTTCATTGGACTTTCCTGATAGCTGATAACATACTAAAGAATGCTACATTCACAGATTTTGTTTAATTTAATCAGTGTTCATTCTGTGTCACCTTGAATACTAGTAAATCAGGTGCGTTCTTAAGTATATTTTCTGCTGTTAAGAAAGTCCAAGGAAACTTAATTCGGACGCATGATGTGCTAGTTAACAGACCTGTTATACTCACAGTTGTTGAAATTTACTGACATAATTTCTAGAAAAATTTGTAGCACCGCAGATGTTTTGAAGAAGAGATGCATATTTTCATTCCTCTTAAAGACTCCAAATAAAAACTATGTCTCAAGGCAAATCGTGTCTTGCGTCATTAAAATGAACTTTTTAATCATTAAATATTTGCATCTAACTGACTTTAATGGAAACTTGGCGTTGAATTGCAGAGTCAATTAAGAGCCTCACTAGCAGAAAAAGAGGTGGCCAAGATGAAAGTAAGGGTGAGATTCTCTTTGTTCGCTGAATCGTGCAGAAAGCTTAGTTTTTTGGTGCCGGAGATGCCTTGCATTGCAAACATTCTAGCGCTTTTTTAATCAATGCTTAAATCTAATTTACATGTTGGAAAGACAAATTTATTTTGCTCACTTATAACTGCAGACAGTCAAAGATCTCTCACTTTCTCCATCAGTGTGATAATGGAATAGAACTCTCTGCAAAGATATTTTGGAATATTTTTTGCCATTTTTATAATTCGGAAGTATCATGAATTATGCCTTCAGTTTTGTTCACTTGAATTCTTTGACTATTTGCTTCGCCATTTCTTTTGAGTCACTCGTAGGGCTGTGCGAACCTTCAAAAAGTTCATACCAAATGAGACATCTAGTTCCAAAAGCAGCATTCTCCATTGCCCTGCCTAAAAATTGTGTGATCATCATAATGTTAAAAGTGAAAGAACAGGAAAACCTACATATTCATGTTTTCTCGTGAATTTCCTGTTATAAGCTAGAAAATTTGGAAGTTTTTAAAAACAGCTAGACGCTTTGATTGTTCTTCTCAGAAGATTAATACGATTACACAATTTTTAGACAAAGTAATGAAGATTGCCGCTTTTGGAACTAGACGCCTCAAATATCCATTTCGAGCTCAGTTCAATCTTACAATTTGTTCAGGAAATTTTGAAGCTTTTTTTGTGCGGTCATTTGCAGTTCTGTGAGCTTTCATTGATTAAAGTGTTATGCATATTTTAAGGTTTTACAAGTACTCATGAGTGATCTCAGTTTTTGATGACCTCACAAGTGTATTTTCAGCTTTTTGCGGGCAACTTTCCAAATTTTCACTATTTTTTGGACAAATTTTTGTGCTTGATATAATTGGATCTAATTTCACCCGTATCAAAATTATTTGTTCAGTGAGAAATAAACCGCATTTTTTCTCCCGATTTTTAACACTTCCGTAGAAAACCTCGCAGCTTTGATTTTAAAGATCTCCAAGATAGTGGTGCCTTTTAAATTTCAATATTTCAATCATTCGTCAAATTATATTTTCAAATGAACTTTATCAATCTGATCAAAAGCTCCTGTAAGTAACACAGAGCTTAACCTGACGAGTTTAGCTTCCGGAATCTTTAAAAAGTTATAATCTGGCTCAGTTTGGGTTTGGCTGGGATTAAAAAAATTTAGGTTTGCACAGCTCTGGTCACTGTGCTTTGCTGCGACAGTTGCTTCACTCCATCATCATTTTCTTAGATTCTGAACAAGTTTTGAAACAATGCATCAGCATATGTATTGTTTTTTAAGTTTTTATCAACTTTCATAATTTTTATCCTAATCATAAGGCTTTCTAGCTTGCCTTTAACCGTATTTTTACCGAAGTTATTATTTTCAGGAATCATTGCTTTTTTATTTGTATTGTAGACAATGTACAATTTCATGAACATGCATGCTTTATTGTAATAAAAGCACAGAAGTTGTATAAGATTGTATAATGATGGTTCCAATAGTAACTTTCACAGTCTTATTTCTCCAAAACTGTCAACAATAAATGTTTGCGGTAATAAGAAGTATGTGTGTCACAGTCTCAGCTTTCCAATGAGCTAAAGAGGTTTAAAATCAGCTCATTGGTGTCTTTGAAAATTCTGCTTTACCAGGCTTACCTCTTCTCGGAGTGAGTCCAAAAATATGATATCATCATGTGCACAGATTATTGGAACACTAATAAATACGCAGTCCTTTGAATGATAGGTTGCGAGGAGCGTACCTTACTTTTCAAAGTAGTCTCATCCTTTGTCCAAACACTTCTGAAGTCAATGCAACAACTTTCTGATGCCAGCTGAAAATAATTCCTTGTCTTGACTTTGATGCCATGAAAATAAGCTTTTTTTTGGCGTCATCATGAATGGTTAACTCACTGCCACCGAGACCAGATTTTTATAAGAAAAGGAAGGAATCACCTGTTTCTAAATCTAGCAACTCTAGAGGATGGAGGAAATTGTTCTGCTAAAAACTTTCCTACGAATTCTGAATGGTTGCTGCAGAATGTGGAAAACAACTGAAAAACACACCCTCTCAGAAATATTCATTTTTGGACCTGCTGGGAGAAGAGACCAGTCTCGTAAAACAGACTTTCTCACCGAACTAGTGACCGAACTCAAGTTTTTAGCTTGTTGGATAGCTGAGAGTATAGCGAACACACTCCTATTTATCACATCCATTCATTATAGTTTCGAAGAAATAAGTTGTGGACTTTATACTCAGAGCGACCCTCGTAAAAATATGAGGATTGTTTTAAAAGGAAATCGTTATAATCTTTCTTCAGGTCTGCAATTACCTGAGATTTAGGATTCATGCCTCTGAATTGTGGGAAACGTTGGGTTTCTCCAACTGGTATCAGAATAGTATTTGAAATTTCGTTTGTAACTAACTTATAGAAGTCATATTTAGGTCTTCGAAAAACTTAATGTATTTATTTTTCTGTGTATTCTTTTCATTAATGTCTAAAGTACAGAGTAAAAACCTGTTTTTTCAACTAGTACTAAGTAAGTTGCATTGGTTGAACAATCTAACAAATCCAGGAGCTCTAACAAGTTTGCAGCCATTCACATCTCATTGTATCCCGGACATGGGGCTTTATTTAACTCATTAAAGCCCAAAGTATCATGCAATATTTTTCTCCTGTCTTCTCTATTTTTGCTGCTTCATACTTTGCCTTTGCTTTTGCAGGGTTTGGCATGAGTCAGCTTTAGGATTATATTTTTTTCCTTGCTTTTGTATTTATTTTCCCATTCCTACAACTAACTTTTCGAAGATAATTCAACACTCGACTGACAGCTGACTTCTATTGCAATTATCATAATTGGCCGGAGGTGCATTTGCTGATGTCATATTAATCATAACATCTGACAAAATCGTGGAGTAATAGATTTTTATGTTTGCAAGGCATAACTTCATGAAAACAGAGAATAAAGAATGGCCGACGTTGGATTGATAGAATCAAACATGATTTATTTTTTAATCATCCCAGCAAAAGAACAAAGGAATCAATGGCAGCAATGAAGAACTAAAGTCAGAGATAAAACTTAATGCAGAGAAATTGGTCACCGAGTGTGCTAATCGTAGGAATGGGAAAATAGTGAACCAACATAGTTGAAATGCTACTAAAGCTTCATATTTGGTTAAGGATTTTTTAACGCTGCCTTTAATCAGCTTGGTATCCGGTGACATTGTGAGAGCTTAAGCTCTTAGGAGGAGAAAAATTGAAGCAGAACTGTTCTTTTTTATTGTAACATGGGTCAAGAAGACAGGTAGACCATGACATCAGATAAAACATGAAAAATACTTGGTGGCAGTCAACTTGTTAAATTTTGCAAGAAAAGGTGCTTATTAATGAGGCATTATTAGCTTTTTGCTTGTGAGTAGTTCAATTTTGTGAATGCAAAGCACTAAAGAGTATGTAATATCAATAATAGACTTACGTTATTAAAAACCTGGTCAGCTGCAGTAATAGCTCTGTCTAAACAATACTTTTTTGCCTAATAGCTTTTAAATGGTAACAAATACCAAATGAAGTGCTGAGTGCAGGAAGGATACTTCTCGGTTCTAGTACAGTGCTTTCACTCCATAACCACCCCCTCCATAACGGATAAATTCATCAGTCCCCACATATACTAAATATATGTATTTTCTCCTCTATCCAGTGCTCTCTCAGTCCCGGACAAATCTTTTGGTCCTTTGAGATCTGCTTTAAAGGGAGAGCACTGTATATCAGAATTGTGACTCTTAATGTATACTTTAGAGAGGAACGTAATGGGTGATTTTTTTAGAATATTTGTCAAAAACACCGCATCATCAAGGATTGGTAAATTTTTAAAAAAATATATGCAATCGCTTTCCTCATAATGGGTGAAATGTTAGCATAGACTCTAAAATACTGCAACCGGAGATTGCCCTCCCTGCCAATATGGCCTTAATTTTGCGCGCTGATCAAAGTAAGAATCGATCAGGCAATCATCTGCTCTTAATGAAATTAAATATTCACTAAATATTCATGACTTTTTTTAAACCAAGTGATCATCCTAGGTAGCTTGATTATTATTACTTTTAAATCATGGTCTCCAGCTCCACTGAATTTAAGGTCTCTCTGACTGATTTTTTGTTTTTTTTCTCTCTCTCTTTTCAGCTTGAAGAATTGGAAGGAAGTAATGCTAATAAAGAGGAGTTCGCTGAAAAACTGCGATTGTCAAGTCTTAAATTGTGCGAGGTTGAAAGAAATCTCTACGCAGCCAAAAGAGATGTTGTATCCTATCAAGGGATGCTAGAACAATCTCAGGTTAGCTATTCTTCATTACAAAATAGATTTTAAAAGACCTCCAACCCTTGAACTGCAAGGTGCAAGAATCGCCGTTTTATGATTATCATAAAAATCTCCAATGATTTTAAACGGGGACAGTTTGTTAAAAAATTATTCAATACTTATTTAGATGTGAACACTGAGTTGCCACAGAAAATTTATCTGACACCTTGACCTCTGCTACAACTGTTGCCAAAAATTTTTTGGACCCGAGTTTGAGAACAGAGATGCACGGTCTTACCAAGAAATCAGACTGCATTATTTCTAAAATACTATGAATGTATAAGTCTTTTTACACCTCATTTTAATGTATCTTTAGTTTTACGTACTTATACATTTATGTCTTACATTAAAAAATGCACTAACTGTATGTTCTCACATGTTTCAGGCGCAATGTCAAGCAATAGAAAAGAAGTATACCAAAGCAAAACGCTTGCTGCGAGAATTCCAGCAGCGTGAAACAGATTTAATTCATCGTGAGGAATTCTATCTGCAGTTATTACAAGAAAAGGACACAGAATACAATGCATTAGTGAAAGCACTTAAGGATAGAGTAAGAAATTCCACTTGTTTCTTGAACTCTCAATAAATGGTTCTTTTGTAAAACTATCTCAAAAGTTAATTATGTCATGGAATGACAAAGTTTTTCTATTATTCGTTTGTATGATGAAAATTGCAGAGCACAAGTAACTTCTTCAATATGGCGCAAATTGATAGTTGTTTGAGATAATCCAAAAACAAGAAGAAGTCTTTCTCAATTTACTGGGTAGCTAGTCAAATACTCGATTAAAATGTATAGAAATCATTTCAAGTGTAGTAAAAAAACATACTTTTCTCATCAATACAACTTAGTTACAAAAATTGGTGTATTTCCGATTGAATATGGTGTAATGTGTTTGTGTTTAATTTTTCAGGTTATTCAAGTTGAACAGGAGCTTCTTGAAACGCAAAGGAAAACAGGACTTCCGGTTCGACTTCCATATGACAATAATAATCTTCGCCTTTCAATTCCTCAAGTCACCACTAGACCTCCGGTAAAGTTTATTTTCAGTCCTTATCAATCAAAAAGTCTAACTTACAGAAAAATTTGCCAATTATGTTTAATGAGACAGTTATTATTCCAAAGACTACAGGGACTTATGCAATAACGTTTTTACCGAGCTAGCAGATCTTGGTCTCATCCGAAAGATTCATGTATAATTTATTAATTTACTTCAATCTCAGCTCATTTGATGAGACTTCTTACAATCAGTGATTGTTAGCTTGTTCACGGCCAGTCTGGTAATTGTGACCATTTTTTGCCGGTTGCCAGGCTGAAACAATCATAGTGGCCATGGTTTGTGGCTGTGGTTTTTGTATGGTTTTTATTGCGCTGCCTTGCGATAGAAGCGCTGTATGTGGATTCTTCATAATACGAATTTTAGAGTACTAGTCTCTTCAACTACAGATAGAAGCGCTAGCACCAAGGTGATCAGTGATAACCGTAGTGCGAGGTATTTTATTTAGCTGTTTTTTTAGCTGCAAAAAGAATTACCCAATAATTTTTTGTTAGAGAACAAGTTGAAAAAGTCAGACTGACTATCATTCTTAATTTAGAGGGTTTTTTTGCAGAAATTAAAACATGAAATTATTTACTATGTCTTTGCTCTTCTTCATTTTCCTGATTGCTTTGCCTCGTCAAAGTATTGTGTAGAGTCTAACGGCAAAATTTCATTCAATTTCTCCATTTTGGATCACTGACTGCGGAGTGCTGGTATGAGTGGTGGGAAGCATCTGTAGTCATGCTCTTAATATTTTTCTTTGGTCCATGAGAAATTTAAATTTTTGTTTTGCTTTTATAGGTTGCACCTATCAAACCATTACTGGAGCAGTTAGGAGCGGAGTTATCTGAGACCGAGGAAGGACCTGAAGAAGAAAAAACTGCTACCGTCGAAAGAAAAGTAAGCCTTCTTTCTCGCATGGTTTAAAAAGTTTTTTTTTTCATGTGATCATCACAGCTTATACTTTCCTTAAGTCAAACCAGCATTTGTAAAATAATATACCGGAAGAGGTTTAAGATAAAATTATTTTTACCTCTGATTCTTATTGGATTAAAAGAAATTCATCATTTGAAGCAAACAAAATTTACTGTCTGAAGTTGTGACACACCCTGAAATTTTGGGAATGAGATATGCTCTGTAAAATCCAAGTTTTCAGGGTGCTAGTGGACCAATATTCTATACTTCATCAAAAAGTTGAGAGTAGTGGCTTTCAAGTGTTTCTTACTGATTGCTCCACCAATGATAGTTCCAAAAAAGTAAAATTTAAAAATTTATTTTCCATACAACACCCGCTTTTTTCAGTTTATGTAATCATTTTTGTAATGTTATTTTTTCGTTAACTTCTTGCATGAGAACTTTACGCATTGATATTAAATACAAAATAATGATTGTACAGGCTATAGAGAAACTCGTAACTTACTTGCATGTATTCAGGAAAAAGTTATAAATATACAAACAAGTATAATATATATCTATTGGGTCAGACCTGAGGGCAGGCCAGTTCCCACGGTTTAACTCTTCTGAGACACTAATCTTGTTTGAGTTATCCAAAAGTTGGATTGCCTCAATATTTGGATGGGAATAGAGATGGCGCTCATAGTTTGTAGCAACTTAAGTGGTAAACTGAGAGACCGTCTCCATTCCAAGATTCAAGATTCCTATGAATATCCAAATTATGCTCCTACCAGCGTGCTCCAACAATTGAAATAATTTTAATCAAGTTTTTTTCCATCATGGCAATTGCAAAATCTGTCAATTTTTTCACATCTGCTGTGCGAAATGAGGTAGAGGACTTTTTTAATATTACATTTGATTTTAGGTACCAATCAAAGAAGAACTGGACCGAGCTGTGCCTCAGCACGAACTACTGGACACAACGGCCCACAAAAACAAAGCTGAGCTAGCAAATCGTGGTGGTCTGGCGAATAGACAGCTCCCAACCAATGCCAAGAAGAATAGCAGTTTGAGTAACAGTAGTTCGGTAAGATTTTAGTTTTCATGCAAAAGTCACAATTTTTATTAATTTCTTCTATAAATTTGGTGCATCGAGCTGTAATTAGCTATAGCACTAGTCACAAAGCGACGGTGTAAGTCGGCAATCACGTAATTTGGTTTGCGATTTCGCAGACTTCCTGTCATACTTTATTTTTTAAATGGAAAACTGCTCAATGGCAATTCTTTAAAATTGCAGTGAATTTTTTTTCTCTGTGCGAGGAAAATGCTGCAAAAACTTCAAGGAATTATGTCAATTTGTTCTCCTTTAAAATAATAACATAGAGGCGGAGATTTCCAGACATTGCAAACGAGATATGTGATTGCGGACTTACGCTGTCGAAAGATTCCAAAATTCATACAACATGTGTATAAACATTTTTACAAAACAATTTATATATTTAGTTATAAAATCCCAAAATGGATTTTTATTTGATTTCATTCTGTGTATTAAATAGGTAATGAAGAGTTATTTCCTCTCATTTTTTCCTATTTCTTTTTTTTTTCTCTTTCTAAAATATCCCCTTGAAAAAAAGAAAGGTCTATTTCTCTTTTCTTGAAGAGTTCCCTCTGTTTCAGGATTGCGCTCTTGATAAGAGTCAAAGTTACTCGGATGAAAACTTGGATGGGAGCATAAAGCGAAGTGCGTTTTCTGATTATTCGGAGAGCAGCATTGTAAAATCTCCCTCCTCTTCATCCATCCAGCAGTATTCGGCGATAACACGCAATTCGTACCAAACGGCAGCTTATCTGCAGCAGCACCAGTCTAGTCCTGATCCGTGGGTGCCGCGGACCAATGAACGAAGAATCGGTCCACCCACTTCACTTGCTGAGCAGCTGAAGCAGGTTTTGGCAGAGAGAGAACGCAGACTATCAAACTCATTAGATCACAGGTATGTTTACAGCGCTGCTCTAGAGATGTAACGCCTGCAATTCGTGTGTAAAAGCATTGAGCATTCAAAGAGGGAGTGATTTTTTTGGAGGGTGTCATATACACATATGAACAAATTCAAAGACACTTTTGTGCTTTCAAGAAAAATGTGATTAAAATTAAAAAACCTTTTGTAAGCCATTGATTTAAATGATCTCAAAATTTACGCCAAATAAATGAGCACTTCTATTCAAATTTTTCATAAAGTACATCCTAAGACAAATTTCACCAAAATGACCAATTTTTGTTTTTTTTTAAACAATTTTATGAAACCCTCTTATCCATGAAACCAGAAATCAGGTCCATGAACCCAAAATTAGGTCAGGACTAAGAAATTCTCCTCTGAAACTATAAGCAACATCCATTTTATATTAATGTAGTTTTATGGGAGAATTTTATTCTAAATTACCTGCTTCTTGTGACCTCAAATTTTCGTTTTTAAATGTTGTTTAATCTTTCTCCTTCTCTCTTTCAGCCCGGACTATTCAGACTACAATGCCAGTACAATTTCATCTACATTAGCAGAAGACATCCGACAGGCTGTCAATGAAGCAAATGCTCGCATTGGTAAATCGGCACCTTTGCCTGTTCCACATCAGCTGCACTGGCAGCATGTCCAAAGCTCACCATCATCTGTCTCTTCCTCTGGGAGTGTTTCGACTGATATGAGCCCAAGCAGGCCGCCCTCGGAGTCTTCGACTGAGTGGCTTGATCAATGTGGCAAGAAATCACACTTGTGGCAGTTGCAACCCATCCCTGAGTGGACCAAAGACCAGGTAATATAAGAATCACAAACTTAAATGTGGCCTCTTGAAGGGAGGCAAATTTCGATTGGAGAGGGAATTTTTCAAAAGAGCAATTTAATACAGTAGAAACCGCATATAACGGCACACGTTTATTACACATAATCGCTTATATCGTCATTCTCGCGTGGCCCCATTTTTTTGCCCACAAGCATTATGTAAAAATTTCCTGCTTGTATCGGAAACGCTTTTTACAGAAAACCGCTTACAACAGCAAAAATTTTGGTCTCAAATCGAAAAAATTCCGAAGTAAATGGGATTATCCCCAAAAAATTCTGTCCCAGTTTCAGCACTTATACAATCTATAGTCAGAAAGTTATTCCAAGAACTGGATACAACGGAAACACTATCCAGTTATTAGCGGTGGTGTGGCGTGCTTTGTGATGTATCGATTGATCTGCCATTTAAACCTATGGAAAAGGAATGACGAATAGGGTGTTTGCAACAAACACCTTCATGGTAGATTCTTTACCATCACTTCAAATGGGGAAATATTGATAACCGATCATTCACGCTTCGCCACTGATTGTAAATCTAGCGGAGAGCTGTAACAATCATTGTTTATTTCAGCATTATTTGGATTTATGTTTGGATTAAGTTTTAATCTAATGCTTCAATATGCTGCTAAAATTTGAAAATAAGAATAAATGGTTGAAATGCATTAGATGTAAAATAGGTAAGCGTGAAATTGGTTCACCGGTGGCCGCTGAAAGTACCCACGGCGGCTTTTAGCGACACCACGCTGTTCTGTAACGCGGCGTAGAGCATCAGTGCGTGCCACGCACCTCCTAAATTTCCACACACCACAAATAGGCTGTTTACACCTCAACAATTGAAGATACGCCAAAACGAACGAAATTTTTGATCATAGAATCACAACTCGTCAATTCCAAGCAGGAATGCTTTTTCAAATCTTTCAAAAATCCTATTTATTACGTACGCCCTGTCTAAGTTTCTTACAAAGTTCGGATTTTTCGGCAAAATTCAAAACAAACATTTCAATTTGTATTCAGAAGGAGCATCGAATGTCCAAACTTGATCGGACAATATTTCCCGAAAACACTCCACCCTAGCGGGCCGTGCGGTTGCTGCTCAGAAGTTTATGTATTTATTTATTTCAATTTCAACGGGACAAGTCCCAATTACATAACACTTAAATAGAAACAAAGGCAACAAAACGTACAACAAAACGGACAAAGAGAGTGTGACTAATAAATAACTAGAATTCGTTCTTTCACCAAAGACTTAAAATTTGAGATACGTAGGCCATAAAATTGGATCCATTCAGTACAGCTATTTGCAAAATCTGAAATGCTGGGAATAACAGGTCTATGCTTCCAGATGACAATATGTGAGGGGATAACAAATAGACGATTTAAATTTCGCAAAGATCTCGGAGGAACATGAAAATGAATGTAGCTAAGAAGAGTAGGAGAATCAATAAAATTATTAATAAGTTTAAACAAAAACATGAGATCATAATAATGCCACATAGAGACTAGGGAGCATAAGTTCAGATGTTTAGCAATATCTCCATAAAGAAGTCAATATTTATGCGAAAACCGCTTGTACCGGAAACCTGCTCATAACGTAATATTCGGCCGATCCCAATGCATTCCGTTTTATGCGGTTTTTACTGTAAATTGACCATAAAAATTCAGTACTGAAATGATTTTTTGACAGAAATGAATCTTCAATATTTGATAGATCAGTTGAAGTGAGATTAGGTTTTTTCTGTGCAAATTGAGAGCATTAATTTACATTTTAATCCACTAATTTTTGAACCAAGAAACTTGCAGATGAACTGAAAACTTAAAATGATGGTATCTCCAGTTGGCTGGGCAGTTGTCATACCATAATTTTTCTAATACACAATTCTTACACTGGTACCTGTCACTTAATTTATAGTTTTTCAGCATGAAAGTTCTTTTCACTATGGATAGTTACAAAGAATAATTAAAGGCGTTGAATTAATGGAGTCCTTGAAGTTTTGACAAAATAAAGTTAAATGGGCAAAGTCTATCGATTATCCCAAAAATAATTCTAAGCAAACGGAAAAAGTTATTGACATGTGTCCCCTATCTATAAATATTGCTCACAGTGTAGCAGTCTTGACAAATCATCATCTCTGAATAAATGCAAATATCCTTTCATGTGGTTATTTCTTTCTTATTTGTAGGTTTGTCAGTGGTTGATGGCTGTGAATATGGACCAGTATATCCCAAAATTCCGAGAACAACAACTGAACGGAATGTCATTGCTAACTCTAGAATCCAAAGACTTCAAAAATTTAGGTATTGTAGGTGATGATAAGACTAAACTGAAGCGGAAGCTGAAAGAACTCAGAGTGCAAGTTGAGAAGGAGAAACGTCACTTTGAAAAGGAGAAAAAAGAAAAGGAAAGACAGCAGAAGAAAGCAGAAAAGCTTGCAGAAAAAGCTAGCAAACGAAAATAAATCTTCATTGGACCTGAAGATGGTTTGGTTATCAATAAAGGGTTTGAATACAGATTCTAATCCTCCTTTGATTTTTTTTGCTCAAGAAGTGAGCAAAAAAATGAAGCAATGTGAGCAACGAATTAAAGTATTATTTTTCAATCTGAAGTCTGATCATTTTGTAGTTTTTGCTCAAAACTACCTCTTGCATTCATAAATTACGTCTAGATTGTTTGGAAAATACGAAGGAAAAAGCTCATTTCATACTTGTCTGCAGGCGGTACACAACTTGGGCCGGAAAAAGTGCCTTTCATGCAGGAAACCTATTAAGACTTTCATCGAATCACTTCGGTCTTTCCAGGTCATCTTTTTCTCTCCTATTATCGTCATCAGTGTAAAAAAAAAAAAAACAGAAACGAAGAAGCTGGCTCCGATGCTCAACAGAACTGTGATAAGAAAGTAGCTGTCAATAGATGAAAAGACATAAATTGTATTTTGTACAGTGTTTTGTGGTTGATAACGAGGAGGCAATCGTTAACTTTCCAAGTACTTTGCTGGGGAGTGCTGTCTTCACCTGTTTACCGCTCACATGCTTTCGCCTGTAAAGTTGAGCTTAAAAATCACTGGCAAATAATTATTAAAGGGCAATGAAATGTCTCCTTTTCAGAATTTTGCTCGTAAATTAATGTACTTGCACTTAATTTTTTAATTGGATGCTTCATCCAAAGTGTAAAATGCATTTGCGTACTGTATGCCATCTTAGCCTAAGATATGCGGTATATAAATAGTGGTATAAGTCAAATATATCTAAAGGAACGAAAAATCCTTTTATTTATACCATGAAAATTCAGCCTGTTCTCACATTTTTAAATGAAGTTTTATTAATTTGCAACTCTATAGGGTCAATTGAAATATACCATCCAATGGTATCAATCCATTCAGATTTTGTGGAGCAAAAAATTTATTCTCTGCTTTTTGGCAGAATGCTACATTTTATAGCCACGATGATACATAAGGAAGTAGTTTCAGCCAAAACATTTTAGTCATGGTCATTGATTTGTGATCATTTGTGTCAACTTCAACCAATAGTCTTCTTTTAAATGTTTGACTTAACTTACTTACACTCATCTGTTCAGTTAAACACTTTTTGCATCTATTTATTCTATTTGTAAAATTCTTTATCTTGGATATCATTGTGTTTAATTGCAATATTTGATTATTTTAACCTCCTGTGCCGCACAATTTTGTATTACTGTACTCTCAACTCATTTTTGTTCTCCTTTAAACCTAACGAAAAGCTCAAAATGCAAGGGGTAAATCCTGAAATTACGGCTTATTAAACACACCAACAAATTTCTTTTATATTTTTGGATTAGGGTTCCTTCATTTGATGATGGTAGAAATTTGTAAATATCTTTTCTGAATTTTTTTCTACCATAGCTTTTTTAAGTTTACCGGCCTAATCTGAAATTTGCTTTATTCGGAGTTTTCAAGTATTCCCCCCCCCCTTTTTTTATGCAAACCCCAATGGAACGCCTCTTCAACGGGGTCATCCTAAAAGAAAATTGAAAACTAGATTAATCCAAGTTGAAATTAATGAAGGCTCCAAAGACCTTTAACCAAATGACTGACAGTAAATTTTCTACTCAACAATTATGAACCAAGAAAATGAATTTAAATAATTTGTTATATTACACATTTTTAGTAATATTTTATTTGTATGAAAGAAAAAAATAATCAATGTCTCTTGAAACTTTTTGTGTTTTTTGTATGCTCCATCTGAAGGATTCTTAAAATATTTCACACAGAAACTTTTTTTTTTAAATTTAAATGTATGATTTTAAGTCCATACAATTAAAACTTCTCTCATTCTACTTGCACTGTTATTCAATTTTGGTTGTGCTGAAATCAACACAGATCTTATGCTTTAAGTGCCATACCCTAAACAAGAAACAATGCTGAAAGCAATATTGCGACTCAGGTGAAATGGACTAACTACATATTTTCAAATTCCGAATCTGATCGCAATGAAAGTATCGGTAGAGAAACATGGTGAAAAAAAGTGATTTCATGGCATACAATTTTTTCATTATATGAGTGAATGAAACATATTTTTTTTCTCCTTGTCACTGCTGTCATTAATAATTTATTCCTCTTAAACTGAATTTTTGAGATAAGTATTTATGAGTTGCACAGCTCTACTATTTAAGAAGAGTCAAGCAAAATCGTCATGTTTACGTTGCAATGTAACTGAATCTCATATCCTATTTTAATTTTTCAGAAGGAAACCAACCGACATGCCCGCCAGACAATTGTTGTGATTTTTTTCTGGTCCATATGAAGGTTATCCTCCCAAAAATTTAGCATAATTCTTGGTTTGTTTCCTTCCAAAAAATTAAATAGGAGATGAGATTTTCAAACACAGTAATGTAGGGGTGACTGTTATGATTAGTTCCGTCAATTTTATGCACTTGCATCTGCAAGTAATGCAATTTTTTTTGCTGCTCAGTGTTTTTATGTGCGCTTGGACCTGGGCAGATATTCTGAGGAAAAGTGGATGTATATTCTTATCAAATGATCTTTGAAGAAGTGAAGTAAGAGAACGTATTTATTGAATACTAGAGAGACCATGTAAATTTTCTTTTAGAATCATCGTCAGCTTTGGACAAGGAAGCACTCTTTGTCAGTATATACTAGTGTGCTTTCAGGGTGGCAATTTTGCAGACAAATGTTTTTAATTTTTTACTTCTTCAGAAGAAAAATTGTCGTAGGATGTTGAGTAATATTTGTGAAAGGGGCAAAAGGTGGAATAGCTGAGTACCTCTCTTGCATCTGGATGGGAATTTTAATCTTATTTTATTTTTTAAATGTGAACAAATTTACTTTATGAACTGAGGTCCTTGAAAAGCTTATAGTATGTAGTTATGTAACTGGAACTATGTTCCTTCCTATAAAACCGCAGATTTCCGCTGTTTGCATAAAGTATTATCCAGCAAAAATCGTTTTAATGATTATGTTAAGCTTTAAGGAAAGAATGCACCTTGAGATAACTCTGCCAGGGGCAAATTTACAAGTACATGAATTTTTTTCCGTTGATCAATTTAATGATTTCATTTGTAGCTGCACTGAGCTGTCGTGAAAATGTTGTAGGAATAGTTCCAGTTACTCAACTTGACAGTTAGTTATTTTACATATGCGGCTGGTTCTGCAAGATCACTTCTTACTTTGTAGTTACCAACTACACCCTCTCTCTGCTCATTTTTGCTTCCATCAGCACTGTTTTCCTCTTTTTTCTTGTTCTAAGAGCTATCATAGATTTTGCAAGAAAAACAGAACTGATCATATTATGTTGTTAATTTTATTCAAATTTTTCTTCTTCTTGCCTGAATCCTCAGTGAACGTGCAATTATCGTAAGCTACATTTATTGTGATCATTTATTACGCATTTCCTCTCTTTTCTCTCTTTTGAAAGATTTTTTATTAATCTTTTGTACAGAACTTTTACTACTTCTCTCTAATCCAATTTTGTATTTAATTTCATTTATACTCTCTAGAACTAGGTGATTTTTATTTCATTGTTATTTTTTTATTATTTGTTCATAGACCTTGTAAATTAGAACGGAAGAGGGAACGTTTTTAAGTTTTGACCTTCCTCCCCCCCCCCTCTCTTTCCCACCATTAGAGCATGTTTATGTTATTCAATGTCACTGAACTTTGAAGAAGTAAATGGAAAACTAAAAATTTTTATACTTGTTTTATAACAATAAATAATCTTTGAGTGAAATTTCAGCACTTTTGTTTGTTTTTTATACCTGTGAATAGTGGGTACATATGTACATTATTATTTTTTTATAAAAAAAATTTCAATTCCTCTGTACGAGTTTCAGTAATTGAAATATTCAATTGTAAGATTGTCACAGTTTTCAAAAATATTTTTTTAATCAATAGAGACCTTGATTTCTTTCACATTTTCGACTCTCAAATAGACTCAATTTTTGCAAAAGAACGTAAGTCAGTCCTTTGCACTGTTTCAAAATTGCCCTCATTGTTTTATTCTTTTTCTTATAAACAGTAAGTACCTGATTATATATTTTGTATTATTCTAGTAATTTTTTTCCATTACATGTCCAGATATGGATGAGTCTGAAATAGTAGTTCCTAATCTCAAAATTAAGTCCATTTAAGAGTTGAATTTGGTGATTTTTGATCTCTCCACTGGGATCTACATGAAATTTTAAAAGAAAAACAAATTCTGATAAATTCAATTATGGGGGAGCATGTTGATAAAAAAATTTCAATGGGTTACAAAGTACTCCCAACGGCATCAATGATGATTTTTAGATTACAAGATCTAAAATACTGCTGTTCAGCCCGTCAAGAAAATGTTTCTCACAAATTCTGGACCCCAATTTCTCGTCTCAAAGGAGAGAGGTCACACAAATTAGTCTCAGTCAATGCTCTGCATTCTAATGAGCATTATTATCTACCTATCTGTAAGTGTGAAAGTAATATATTCCTCCCTCTCACCCCAAAACTTCTTCATTTATTTCTTCTACTTTTGAGCATTGCCAAAGACTCAAACCATCATTACAAACACCATATTGATGGTGAAAGTGCAGAAGTGCGTATCTCGGAAAACACAATTTTCCAGGAGACAGTTTTTTTTTTTTTTTTTAACTGTCTACATTCCTCTTCATTGTTAGTAGAAGGGCAGGGCCGGATTTACCCACTTGCCGCCCATGGGCCACCTGTATTTTGCTGCCCCCTTCTCATTCGTTTTGAAACATCGATACAAACCATCAAAGGAACAAGCCGGAGAAGGATTAGTGCATAAGACGCGTTTACTCGTGTTAGGCATATTTTTTGTGAAAGCCCTGTCAACACCAGCCAAAGTTCACGGAGCCTAGCGCGAAAGTTCAGTTCCGTAGACCTACCTCTGTATGGACAAGGCACACAAAGAGCCTGTTCGGGCTCAACGAAAAAATTATGAAAGAGTAAACATGAATGTGGTTTAATAATTTTAATTTCCGCCACCACGCCAATCGCACTGTGTTTGGCGCAATGCGTGAAGTATCCCTACAGTCTCGTAGGCGCTATGCGTTTCACGCCGACCGCTACTGACCCTACTGACCGCACTACGTTTGACGCAATGCGTGAAGTATTCGTGGAGTCTTGTAGGCGCTATTATGTGTTCCATGCTGACCGGCGCGGCGCGCCGAGGGCTTCTTCTTTTCATCTCGGTCCTCATCATCATCATTGCTCTTCGTGCCGCGCCGCTCCAGGACAAATTGCGTGTTTGGTTTCTCTCTCAACTAAACTAATGAAAGGCGCTGTCTCTTGCATCACCGAAAGACGAAGAAATTAGAAATTATCATACTCTCAGGAAACGAGAGATTTTGTCGCTTTTTCTCGTTTTTAATTTTTTTCTGAATCCGATTTTTTTTTTTTTTTTTGGATACCTGCATTTGAAAAATTGCAACATTTGCCGCCCCCCTAAATTTGCCGCCATGGGCCGCAGCCCATGCGGCCACCCCCTAAATCCGGTCCTGCTCATAGTTACTTTTTTGAAGGAGAACTAATCACAGTTTTTACTGAAACTGTCTATTAATTTTCTTCACTCATTCCACGGAAATCTCTCAGAATTGAAAGAAAACATTTTGATTAATTTTTCCTCCCAGGAAATAAATCAAAAGCAGAAATTTTTAAATGTTGCAATCGAGCAACGCATTTTTCGCATTTACCCACCAATCTAATGAAATTGTTTGAATTGATTCTGAAATAGCCGCCTGAGTGATTACCCGTTGGTTGCTAGTTATTCAACTTATGACTTGTGGTCAACTTGTGGTACTTATCTACTTGGTCAGTAATTTTATAAGTTATTTTAAATTTTAATGTCTCCGGATTAATTGGATAACGTTTTGAGTTGGATTGGATCTTGACGAAAGTGTCCTAAAATTTGGAAATTCACAAAAACATAAACGTGATGGTAAAATATTTGCTTCAATTCTGTAGATTTCTCCAAAGGGCCCTATAAATTGAGCCAGGGTCCAGTTTAATTCAGTCTAGGATAACGATCGAAGAAAAAGGGCGCGGCAAAGCAACCGAGCCGCTATTTCAAATATCCCGCTAACATTTTTGCCGAGCTCCTGTTCTCATTGGTTCAATCTGTTCAATTGGTGACTGGTGCATAACCTGACAAAGTTGTCAGCTGACATCGAAATTTGCGAATTGAATTATCTGTGACGGATTCGGTACTCATTATTTCCAACTATCTTATCAGAGTATCTTACTTTTTATTCATAGTTCTATCCTCAGGGATTAGTTTATTACATTTTTTGTATTTCGCCCAGCTATTCTGAAAGTGACTGCTCGGAAATTTTATCGGTAAAATTTTGTTTCATCCACCTGTAGAGGAGTATTCAGCAAGTCAGCATTTTGCCACAATGGGCACTTGTGTTCTAAGATTTCTGAAATTTTGAGTTTCACAAGCATTATTTGTCGTTCAGACACTTAGAACCCGGACGGTCCTCATCCAAGTAAGTTCTCTCTTGTTTTATGGGTCTACAATTGGAGGGAGTAGACTATTAAACTATTCTTACCAAGTTCCCTGACCGGCAAGACTTGTCTTGCGCGCTTGATAAGCTTGTATTCTCATTTTAGAATTTTTTAAGAACCATGACATAATTCTGGGGAGCTCCTAGGTTTAAGAGATATTGCCTCTCCAATCTTCATTGGACCCTGGTTTCTTACTAGTCAAGACTGAGTCAGGATTGGTCTTTTCGGTCAATGGCTGTCCATATATCACTATCGTCGCTACATGGACAAGTCTTGGCAGTTTGAATCTTAGACCATCAGCTAATTCCCAACCGTGGTCTAGACTACAGTCTCTTCTCCGGATGTTAGAGCTCATACAACCAAGAGATCAGTTTGGCCTATGATAGTAGTCAGAGTGAGAATATACTTAACTGTATCTGCCACTTATTAATCTTCCATCAAGTTTACCTCATACTTCGGTGTTTTCAATTTCTGCTTTTCAAGTGGAGATAGCTTCATTTTATTTTAATCACTACAGTCAAGCACTGAGATGGCGTGTTCATAAATTCAAGTCAGTTGAGTTTTGAATATAGGCCAAGGTAAACAGGTCGATCACCAAATTTTTAACCTTGCTCTTCATGTACTTTTCTCGTCTCTTTGCCGGAGGAGAGGATCATGTTAATATCATCTACCCATTTTACTTCTAAGTATTTCTTTTTTCATTTGGAAAATTCATTCCTGATGTATTTGAAATCCTCCATTTCATTCTATTTTCATCTGATCAGACTGAATTATTTTTTAACAGCCTATCAGTCACTAATCTTTTTTCCAATCGTCATATCTTAAGAAAGTAGGACCCTCTTGTTCAGGGAAAATATGAGTCGACGCAAGTAAAGAAGTAAGATGTCATTACATGTTCACTATTTTAGTAGGAAGGAATGAAATGCTTAACTCATGTTTTACCAGTTTTTAATCTTGTCCATTAATCTTGCCTCATTAAAAATGAATTTTTCTTTCTCTTGTAGGTTGAAATGGTTGATAAAGCTGTTCGCGCAGATGATGCTGAGAACTCCAACCAAATTGCTCGAACAAATCAAGATTCAACCGTCAGTAATGGCGAAGAGGTAATATTGTCTTATATAAATGTAATGTCCTAAGTATGGAATTCCTAAGTGAAATCATCTGGAGTGAAATTGGGGAAAAAAAATAAAAAAAATATGAGAATGAATAGGACTGAAAAACATTAATTGTCCAATGTAATTTACAGGAATTTTTAAATTATGTAAAGCGAAACTTCTAGGAACAAAATACACTGAACTCACTTGCGCTGAAAAATGATCTCATTCTAATGTGAAAAATTGTAGATTTCAACCCTTTATCAGCGGTGATCACTGCTAGTCACAAAATAATTTTGCAAAATTGAGTTCAATGACTTTTTTCGTTTTTTTAAACTTCAAGAAGGTCAGCAAAAGTCTAGAAAGTCAAAAAATAGAATCTGAAATATCTAGCCTATCAAAAAATGTTGATTCCATTATGTGTATGTAAAGTATTATGAATTGAAGTGGAAAAGTACAACTCTTTGAAAACAGATATTCGGAAGTGGATGGATTGATATTACAATGGAAATTCATATCTTCCTTACAGCCTGTCAACCTTTATACTTTGCAGGTTTGTAGTGAAAATGTGTAAAAAATTAAACTTACATTCACAGAAATTCAAATGCTCAGTTTTAGTAGCCAACAAAGGAGTCTTGAGTTAACCATGAACATTTTCTTGTAGAAGATATGTGTTTTATTAAATGTAAGAGAAAAACAGTTTTCTATGTTTTTAAATGTTACTAAAATAACCAGTTAGGTAAATGTTCTTTTCAAAGAACTGAACTGATCTGGGAAACTAAGTGGTCTGATTGCGTCCTAGCATCAGTCTGCTCCACTTGACACTATGTAGAGGTGTTGTATGATGTGAGGCCCATATGTGATAAGCCACTACGTCGGCAGAGGGTTCTTGAGTACCCGCTCCAATATTGGGACCCTATACACCGTGAACCCTATAGCTCCTACACAAGGAAACAATCAAGTAACGAAGTTGATTAATCCTCATTGGAATCGGGAGTTGATAACATTTCTTTTTATTCCATCGCAGCAACAGGGAGAACAAGCAGAGCAGAGGCAGCCCTCTCATCTGGAGTCCTTTCTTGGGATAACTAAAACCCTCATAGTGCGAGCCCTTATTATCTACTTAATCACTTCATTCTTCAGGCGACCTCAGCCGGATAACCAATCATCAACCGCACCTGCTTTAGCAAAAACTACTGCATTTAACATTTTTGAAAATGGAGCATTTTTGGTAAGATATTGTTAAATAATTAAGAAACAGTCTACCTACCTGAGTAGACAGGATTTTTGAAACAGTGACTGAAATTCCCCCTGCATTCTAAGCTCATGTGACCCATCAGATTCTCGTTCACATTCTAATAATTTATATTATATAATTAATTAATCATATTGTCTAATAATTTTATTAATCACATTTGTACTAATAAGTAGACGAAAAAAATCTCAGAGTCACAATTTGACACAAAATGTCATAAGAACTGATGATAATGTCGTCAGCTGTGACCTTGTACAAATTTACCACAAAACTTGAAACTTTGAAATGGTGCTATGTATTATTACTAGAAATTAGAAAATAAAATTATTTGTATTTGTCTTTTAATAAACTCTCAAATGGTCAGAAAATCCCATTTTATCCGTGACAATATTAAATATCCATTGGATTAATGTTATTCTTTTTTGTTTCATCTTTTTTTTCTGGCCAGTGTGGAAACAGGCATCATATTTTGACAGGGAGATAAGTCTGAAAGATACTTTTAAGTGTCAGTCCATAAATATTGAATGTATTCCTCCTCATAATATGTTGATGTGTTGCAGAGCAGAGGTCCTAATTTTATTAACCTTATCTTACATTTTAAGGGATGGTTATATCAGAGTGCTTTTACTAAAGTGCCAAGCCTCTGTCAAGAAGCTAGCTTAAGCATTATTTAAGGACCTATCACACGAGATACAGCTTTTCTGTGCTCTTGCAAATTTGTGGTTTGACTCCAAATTATGAATTTACCTAACAGTTTTTAAATGGCTTGTATTAATTTGAACACCATATCCAGTATAAGAAAAGTATGCTGTCATTAAATTCTGCCTTTGAGAGTGATGTAGCTTGAAAAATTGACAATAAAGTAGGCATAAATTTCCAATCCAGAAAGTGGTCGGAGATCAGCATCAGATCAGCATTTTTGGTGCCTTGCTTTCAGTTCAAAGTATATGAATGATCCAAGATTTTCGTGTATCCTGTTTTTATCTCACAATACTTGTTTCAGGATCTCTATGTCTACCTGTCGGAAGACCCGAATTTCCGTAACTACAGTGATTCCTCATCGCTGATTTGGAAGCAAGAAGATTTGCAGTATGGTGACTGGACAGCAGGACCTGCAGGTGACGGATCGTTTTCGTTTGTCACTAAATTTACTCCGTCTGAACACCTCAAAAACAATGGCTCTATCTATCTGCATGTATTCTTTATTAAATCATCTGCTCTTACACCAAAAGAACGAAATTCCGAAGCCAAGTTCACGTCTAAACATGCCGTCAAGCAAGTGAAGCAGCTGAATCGCTTTAAAAAGCTCAAGTTCATCAAAACGCAGAACCTGCTGACTGGCAAGACAACATTGACTGAAGCTGAAATCAAGAAAGCAGAAACGCTCAAGTCAGAGATCGTCTCACACTGGCACCCGAATGTCACGGTAATTTTGCTTCGTCTCTATTTTTCCATCGATTTTTCAATTCAACTTATCATCAACCAGTCTTGAATTCTTGTCATCGACCTGTCTATCCCTATGCTGAAATAATCTCAGCATGTCTTTCCTCTCCTAAGCTAGAGTTTTAGTTGATTTGGACTTCGACATGCTCTTTTAGTAATAACGAGAAAAAAAAGTAGTTTAAAATAGTTTTTAGTAATTACATTGCCACATTGATGCAGGTATGTGGCGTCTGCTGTGGATAGTATGTACTGTAACTTGAATTCATATCCAAAAGTGTTAGCCATTTCGTTCACCAAGAAAAACCTGTCATTTGATCACTCCCCTGTACTGGAGCCGAATGTCCCTGTCTCTTTAATTCCAAAGTTCTCTTATTTTTGCTGCAATTCCCCCATCCTTTTGAAAGCAGCTTCATTTTCAGCTACCAGCAGTGCTATTTTTTTATGTTTTTGGGCAAAGCCTGAAAAAGGAAGGCATGGGTTAGGTCTAACTTTTTGCTGTAGGTACTGGAAATGCCTGTAGTTTGAAATTTTAACGGGTGAAAAGGTAAAAAGAAAAGAAAATGAGCTTAACTTATAACTTTTTCAATGGCAGTGTTCAAAAATTAGGAGGGAAATACATTCAGGAGATGCAATTTTTAGTGGCAGTAAAAGAACTTGCTAATGCAGAGGGTCGTCTTTAAAAGCATGGCTCATGTAGATATCCGGAAATTTTTTAATTTCTTCCGAACCTTCCTTTACACTTGAAAGTTTACTCATTTATTTATCACATTTCTATGGACATTGCTATCCATTTACAAAATTAAAGAAGTGAAACGCAGAACAAAGTTTAAAATAAAATATAAGACAAATACTTTAGATCATCTCTAAAAATCCATAACATTTTCTTCAATTTCCTCTAAATTACCATTGGAAGAACCAAAACCTACATTGAGAGGATGCGGAAAAATTAACTAAGTCGGTAGTTTGCGGAGTCTGCAGCTGACTTCGCAAAAACACGGAAGAATGCTGTTAGCTGTTTCTATGTATATCAATACCACCATTGTAAAAAGATAAAATCATTATATTCATTACTTTTAAGTAAATTGGTAAAATGCTTAATGTGTTTTGAGAAGTTTTACCTCAAAATAATTAAAACCCAATTATGAAAAAAACAGCAAACAAATTCTATGCAAGCCGTCCTAATTCAAAATTCTGCAAAATAATACCAAAATTTTGGTTTTTTGAGCCTGTGTTTAATAGAAAATCAGAAAAAATTACTATAGTTAAAGTCCAAGCCCCAAAGTCTTTTTATCATTAAATGTGGAAACGTTTTACAGGTAAATCTTGTTGCCGACCAAACGGCATGGAGTCCTGCAACAATCCCGGCACCTCTGAACGAGTATATCGAATTCAGTCCTACAGGCGACTTCTACAAGCCGATCGTATTTTTCAACGAGTTCTGGAACATGAACAGGGATTACAGGCCGATCAACGACACGACCGAAGAGCTTGACTTGCATATCACATACCAGCCAATCTCACTTATCCGTTGGCAGATTTACTCAGCACAGTCGATGCGTAACAAGTGGACTTCCAATCTCCTAGGTGACACGTTTGCAGAAGAAGAGGATGAAGACCAGGACTCGCTGAAAGAAGCGTTGCTGGAAACATCGCCATATCTCATCGCACTCACTGTTGCAGTCTCTTTGTTGCACAGTGTTTTTGAGCTGCTAGCATTTAAAAATGGTGAGCATTTTTTTTTACAAATCAATGATGAGTAAAATTTCTTTTGTGTGTTGAGAATTACTGCGTATATTACGGATCTTGTTATGAAAACTACCCATTTACTCACAGGTGGTTTTTTTTGCCCATCACCGTTTTGGAATCGTTGAATACTGTTAGTGTACTGGCACGTCGTAGGACAGTAGATCAAAATTCTACCTATCATTTCTGCTTCAGGCTACTTAACAGTTATGTTTTCAGAAGATTCTTTTAGTTTCTATATTTTTTCATTAAAAAGCTTTTGTTTGTCGATTTTACATTTCTTACAGTTTTTTATTGTTTAATTGAACCAGAGAGGAAAATTTTCTTTCTTAACCTCTGACAAGTGTAAAATTTTGAATAATTAGCCATTTTACCATGAAACCTAGTGTTTCATAAAAAACCCAGCCATGGGAAAGGTTTTTTTTTGTTTTCATTGAAAATTTTATAGAGAATATTAAACTATTTTTAACTTTTACGATGGTGTGATATAAGTTTGGCCTATACCAACTGTCTATTTTTACAGATATCCAGTTCTGGAATAACCGGAAATCATTAGAGGGCCTGTCTGTACGTTCTGTGTTCTTCAACGTATTTCAGTCTCTTGTTGTGCTTTTATATGTCCTTGACAATGAGGCCAATTTCTTGATTAAAGTTAGTTGTTTCATCGGACTGGGTATTGAAGTTTGGAAAATTAACAAGGTGAGTCTTGGATAATTCAACTTCTTACTTACCTTAATTAAGTTGATTCTTAAAAGAGCGCTCGAGAAGAGTACATTGAACTTGTTAATACTGCCAAATTCTATGTATGACAACAAAGCTGATTAGGTGTTGAATAACGGAACATGATTGCAAAAGAATTAAAACTATAAAAATTAAACACAAATCAAATGTGGCAAGCAGCATAATGGTGTCCAAACCATGTCAATTTCCAGTAGTGGCATCTTCTCCTTAGCAAAGAATAGATTTATCTTAGCCTTTTTAACCTATGTAAAAGAATTGATTACAAGGGTGTTCGCAATGAACACCTTAATAACTGATTCTTTACCATGGCTTAAAATGGGAAAATATTGGTAGTTAATGATTCATGCCTTGCCACTGTTTTGCAGGAAATGTTGTAGCATATTTTTCTGTTGATTTTGTAGAAAGAATCAGCGTTTCTTAGCTGGAAATTTGTTATGGAGACAGCATGAATGATTTTCACCCCAGAGCTTTTTAAAACAAGAGTTAAAAGCTTGCCTGTTTTTGTATTGGTAGACATGATTCACTATGGTATTGTCAGTAAATAACATTTATTCTTTAATAATCTTTCACTTTCCATACTTTTTATGCCTTTATATTTTCAAAAGGTGACCTTAAGTGAGATCTGATTTAGTTTGTGTTTTCTTTATGCAGGTTGTAGACTTCAAAATAGACCGAGAGCGACCAAAAATCCTGGGTGTTATCCCCAGACTTACTTTCACGGACAAAGGCTCGTACGTTGAGTCCAGCACCAAAGTCTATGATGAACTTGCTTTCAAGTACCTCTCAATCGTTCTGTATCCACTTCTTGGTGGCTACGCCATCTACTCCCTAATCTACCTCGAGCATAAAGGCTGGTACTCATGGGTCTTAAATATGCTCTACGGATTCTTATTGACTTTTGGTATGTCACAGTTTTCATAGTATGTACAACCCAGTTGTCATTAGTATCTCTGTCATTGCACCAGAAACACGCCTGTATTATATTTTGTTATAATCCTCATTAATGATGTTACAGCTCGCAATTCATCTCATTTGCTTTTTTAACATCTTTTAAGTATTAGTTCCATGATTTGTTACTATTTCCCAGAATCTTATAAACATATGACAAGCATGGCGTGGAAGAGGACACTACTGTGATTGTGTTTTTGTGGAGGCCTCAATTGTGAAAATAACTTATTGTGTCGGGGAAAATTTCTGACCCAAAAATAATAATAACCAACCCCCAAGAGGAAGCTACCTAAAGCGCGCATTCATTTTCGTTGAGCTGATTAAGTGTTGTCAATGTTGTTGAGGTGGGTTTTATGTATGAATTTGACGATTTTTTCAAATGGCTTATTTTTTGCTGCACAGAATATTGAGAAAGATTTTTCAAATCCGTACTCAATTTTTGCCTCCATCTGACAGCTTCAAAATGCTTACCGTTTCTAGCAATCTGGCGTTTCTGCCTCATTGAAAAATGTGTAATTTGCTACCTCTAACCCAACCCCCAATTAACCGTCCAATTTTCATGACCTCTTTTCAGAGGTTATGATATTGCGTCACATTTCAAGAGATACCTTTTGTCCCAAGGCTCGCTCCATGTTTGTCACAATCATTGGTGTCGGGAGAGGAGGGGAGGGGCAGAGGAGCAATAGCCCCAAATGGATAAGGAGAAGAACGAGAATGAATGACCTAGAAAGAAACAAGCCACTTTTTTAAAGTAACATTATGTGCCCTCATTATGCTATCTATTTATGTACTCGCTCAGGCACCATTTTATGTTAACAAGAAAGAAAAATAGTCTTTCTTCTAAGGTACTGGTGAAATTAAACCATTGGTCACAATCCAGGGGTTGCAAGAGCGGGCATCTTTTGTAACCCTGTTCATCTGATTATCACAATATCTTTTTTCTTACTTTTTAATTTTCTATTCATGTGAATTTTTCCAGGATTTATCATGATGACACCTCAGTTATTCATCAACTATAAGTTGAAATCAGTGGCACATCTCCCATGGCGTATGATGTCTTACAAGTGCTTGAACACATTCATAGATGACATTTTTGCTTTTGTGATAAAGATGCCAACCATGTACAGGCTTGGTTGTTTCAGGGATGGTGAGTTTTGTTTTATTTGCTATCTATTTCATCCATACCAAGAGAATTGAAATTTCACCATTTTTGGCATTTCCTTGATTTTTTATCTTTTCCATCACAATCCGGGGTATGAGATCCTTTTTTTCTAATCAACCTCAAGTATGTGATCAGGTACCTCGGGTTTTTTTTTTTTTTTTTTTTTTTTTTTTTCAAATAAAAATCCAGTACTCCTCGCCCTCTTAATGAAAGGTGATTTTTTTTTTTTTTCAAATTTTAAAAATATTATATAATATGTAGGAACTCAAGAAAGTTACACTCCTATAAGTTTTAACATCATTTAGCTTTTAAGTCCTCCTTTTCACCATATTTAATTTCAGTAGACTCTTTTTTTTTTTTTTTTTTGTGGTTCCCAATGTGAATTGCACGTTTATTTAAAAATACTTTCACAATACTATAGCTATTTCAATGGTTAACCGCCATCATCAAGTATAAAAAAGGTGAAAAAAACATAAACACAATGAGAGGAAACTACTGATCGCATCGTGGCATAAAATCTGAGCAAAGCTAACCTGATCAATTTCCAGCAAATTTCACGCATTTTTTGAAAGTGCAAAAATAATTAATTTAGTTCTCCATGAATGTGTGATGATAAAACTTTATACGTAATCGTACATATGCAATGAGAATCAGCACAACTACATCAGGCATCGCTTAATTCTCTCTAATGTTTTATTTTTTTAAACACGAAACTACGGAACCCTGAAACTTGAAATTTTATGAGTGTTGTTTTAATAATCTAGGGTTCATTCACAGGGAGTTTGAAAGCTTCAAGTAGCTTTGTTCTCTGTTATAAAAATAAAACATGAGAGAAAATTAGGCAACATAAAATGCCATTAGGCTGATTTTGATTAAAATCTGTTCAATTTGTGTGAGGAAAGAAAAATGTCATAAGGACCTTTCTGTGGTGACCCAGTGTCAGACGTCACTTTCCTAGATTGTTGCATCTTAAAAATCATAGTTTCATAGTTCTATATGCTGTTTTAAAACATATTTTTGGGCTGTCGTTCAGGTAGTAGCCTTTTGAACCACGTTGCAAGTGTAAACAGTCCTTTGAAAGTGCAGCAGTAGTTGGTGCTTGACAATACTGCGTTTGTTTACCAGCTATTAATGGAAAAAGCACTCTTGCAGTGAACACCTTAAAATGCCCTCAGTAGTAAAGCTCATGCTACAAAAAAATCCTGATATCAGTAAAATTAAAGTATTTAGTAATGGAATATCCATTAATCCCATTGGAATAACTTTGTGGGGAGGTCAAACTGATCCTATTCTTTAAAAAAAAAAGATTTGTTTGTAATTAATTTAGTCAATCCTGTAGCCATATTAATTAAGTTTAAGGCTATCCAAAGAAAGTTATTGCATTCAAAGTTCCTTAAAAAGAATCTTGTTCCTAATCTCTATGAATATGCCTGTTCCAGACATCGTATTCTTCATATTTCTCTATCAACGGTGGATCTACAGAGTTGATCCCAAGAGAGTAAATGAGTTTGGTTACTCTGGTGAAATGGAAGAACCAACTGAAATGCCCGTCCAAGAGACGTTGCCTATAGAGGAAAAGCAGAAGGAGGAAAAGAAGAAGGACAAGTAAACATGGGGAGTAGACGCAGCATAAAGTTCCAAAATGAAGACTTTGCCCTGGGTATTTTGTTATGGCTGTACAGTATTTTCTTGTTATTCCTGACCTGCCGTCAGATTTTCTCCTCAATGACTGCATCTGCTTGAAAAAAGTCTAGCCTGTTCATCAATCGATTCACGTTTGCAGCATACAATCTTGCCAAGATGTTCGAATAGGATAAAATTAAAAATTTTACTGAACTTACTCATTGTGCAATAAGCAGCGATTGGTCAAGTTCAAAATTTCAGCTCAGCTGATTGTTATGAATGAAGCTTTTTGTCAGCAAAAATGTTAACAAAATTTGTTCTTCAGAGAACTCTCTCCCTTGAAAGTTCTCCTGGCAAGTTAATTCTGCAGTTGCAGTCATTTTTTAGTGTATTTTTTGAAGGAAATATACATTTTTTTTTTTTTTTATAAATATTTTTTTTCCCTATTATTGTTGTCAAATGCTGAGTTGTGCTTCCCTTTTTTCATCGAGGGTCTGTTTCTTTTTTTTTTTTTAATTATCACATGAAGGTTTTTAAAGTGTAATTTTCGTAAGTTTTTTTTAAATTTGAAGTCTTTATCCCCATGTCTCTTAGTTGATAGTTTTATTGTAAAAAATCGTTTCTTATTTTGTTTTTAGAATGCGAAAAATGGGAAAAAGCAATAAGTCTGTGGGACAGTATTCATGATAATAAGCGTCATCTGAACCTAAGATCATTACTTAACTAGTATCTCCAGAAGCAGCGCGCAGTAGTTCAGATATAGATGGCCAAAGTCGGAAACAACATTTCCCCTCTGTGATGTTTCAAAATTCCCTCTCCTATTTCATTTTTTCGAAGAGAGACAAACTAACTTCATAGCTTGAAATTTAAGCAAAATATTCTGCTAGTAGAGAAGGGAAATCAAGGAAGTGTTGAAGACATTACATTAACTAGTTTTTCAAAGGAAAAGTAAAGTATGAAAAAAAATTTGGAACGTCGCGATCAGCGATACGTGATGTTGTCATTTCGTCATCAATGTACCTCAGTTTTTGTCTGAAACTAGTTTCAGTGTGGAATGAAATAAACAGGATCAGGGAAGGATACAAATTATCTCTCGCAACACATCTGAAACCTCAGAATCTTAAAACTATTTTAAACCAATGATACAAGAAACCTATATACCTTTCAAAATGAATGTACCCTAGGGCATGAAAAGGATACAAGACTCTTCCATGCAGAGGGTGTAACCATTTTCTTTTGATTCTTATAGCGACACCATTAGACTTTTCCAGCCTACTTTTAGAGCTCTATTTTTGATTTGAACAAAAATCATGGACTTCAAAGTTTGATAGAATTTTTTTCGTCACCCTTTTGCTCAGAAAAACAGGTTTTCGTTTCAGGAAATAGCTATCTGTTTGGTCTTATCGGTTTAAGCGCCTGAGTATTCAGCAAGAAGCAGCTCATTTTTCAGTTTTTTGTTTGATTACTGCATCATTTGTTGTGCTTAGTTGTTAGCCTATTAATTTTGGTTTTTTAAGTTTGCTATCTAAAAGGCTAGTGTCTGATCAGTCCCAGAATTTTGGAATTTTTGTAACTCAAGTTTTCTCTAGTTTTAAATATTGTCATACTTGTTTCCGTCTTTTTTTGTCTACATAGTACAGAAAATCATCTAATACTTCTCATCATGGAATTGATTGAACGTTTCTCTTTAGTTGGTTAGAAGTTGGTCTTGGGAAACACTGATTTAAGTGTTATTTTAGAGGAAGATTTATTTTTGAAAAGGTTTACGCCATAATGGGGAAAAAAGGTTTTGGCATTTCTGACATCTTGGAATGAAGTCGATGATGCAAGTACAGACTTTTTCATCATCGCTTTTGTGAAAAGTGATGTGGTTTATGGATGAAGAGTATACATACTTCAAAGATTGTCTGGAAGTATATTTCAGGTCGCATTTTGCTAAAACTAAGGACTTTACAATCTGTTTTCCATACTTTGGGTTATCCAGGAAAGTTCACAGCACATTGTATCTGCGTTTATCATGGTGTACCTAAACTAACCAGAATTTGCCACCACCTTTTTTTTCTCTCTCTGAGGGTCAGGAAGAGCAGTTGCATATTGATTTTTAATTGTCTGACCGATCAGTTTCTGACTTGCCCTGGAACTTTTTCGAATATTCACTATCGATAGTTTTAAGCAATTATGATTAGGAAAATATCATCAATAGGTAGGTTTGATTTTTAACCTTGAGTGAAATAATAATTGAGAAACTTATTAAAGATATGAAACAGTGTATATATTAACAAGTCATCATTGTCCAGTGCTGCTAAACCAAAACCATCGGTGAAATGTTTCAACTTGAAAAAAAGTATCTCAGTCCAAGTAGAGATGCTGAATAACTTTCAAGTCAGTAGAGATACTTAACAGTTTCAATGGTTTGTACTGGCATGATGACCGTAAGGTTTTGACATTCTTTCCCTTGCAATGTAAAATGTGAGACTGCCAGAGATCTCCATTAACGGTCTGCAAGCGACTAACATCAGTGAGTATTGCGTTACTGCAATGGTTGTGTGCCTAAATTGACGCACCCTCTGCATGGTAGTAGAAAGCAAGTATGGACACTGAATCAGTAAGCCTCTGTTCGGCTCGCTTGTCATAAGCAACATTTCCTGACAGTGGATGAGCATTGTTGGTTCTTAGTTTAAAACTAATTGCAGGTAAATTTTACCAAGGTCCAGCGCTCCTCTGGTAGTGTGGTCTCGGGCTTTCTTTTCTTTCAAATTCGTACTAAATTAATCGTCTTATGCTTTAAAATTCATACGTACTTGTTATTGTGTGAGAGTGTGAATGAGTGGTAAAACGGTCTCCATATGGATTCCCGTGAGTCACCAGATTGAATGTCGAGAAGTCACCGTTTGCATTCCCTCAAATAAGTTGCTGAGAGCTGAAACTCTGTCTCTATTTTATTTTTCCCCTCTCTTATTTTTTTACTCATCTCTAAATTTTTCAAGTTTTTGAATGAAATTGTGTTCCTGGATTATCCGTAGACCTTTGAAGAAATATTTAAAACAAGCACAACATTATGCAAGTTCTCTCACTACTTGCCTTTGCAAACTATTCCCAACGAACACAATTTTTATAATCCTTTTAGACATCCTAATTCTGCTTTTTCAAATTTGGCTTTTGTGGACAAGTGGGCTTTCACAGCTTTTCTTGTTCAAAAGATGAGACTGCATAATATTGAAGCTAGAGCAGCATTTTGCTGTGAAGTGTTTAATTTTAGCAGAATTTTTAAGCATGAACAAGTTCAACTAAGACTGAGGACACAATTAATGCATTTTTCAGTCGCACAGAGTTGAGTGATTCTGGTGCCTTCATGTAACCATTATCTAGTTATTGTAGTGGAATGTTTTGTAAAGCTTTGAAATCTAAAACTCCAGTGACTGATAGTCTCAAAATGAACCTTTTGTTGTTCACGAGAATATCTCAAACTTGAGTAGTTCTTACCTCATCAGTACCTGAATCCAAGTCCCAAATTTTGTTAGACCCTTCTCAGCAGTCTAAATGAAGTGAAAGCACTTGAATGGTCAGCCAAGTTAAATTTTCTTTTCAAGTGTACGGAAGTTGGTCTGTTGTGTTTCTCCTGGCAAAATTTGGGACCAGGGTCAGTTGATGACCTAACTCAAGTGTGCAGATTTGAAATTCCAGTGTTCGTAAGTCATGACGTAAATGGTTTACTATTCAAGCCAAACCCCACTTTCAGTCAATAGAGAGGCCTGTTTCGTAAATGGTCTCATCGTCTGTTTGAAAATAGGTTTCACTTAATGAAGTGCTTCACTGACTGATAATATATTTGGATTTCTTGTAATGCAGTTATTCTTGCATTGAACAAACCCTAGTGGCCACTATTTTCAGATTGTGCCCATTAAGTATTAGATTTAGTTTGAATCTTTCAAACCTAACTTTTCAATGATCCACATTGGACCACTTAATCTTAACTTTTCGGTACTTGAAAATTAGAAGGAAAAAAATGTATTTAGTTCCCAGTAATTGAAGAGTTTGCCCATAGAAGAGTGTCTTTGAAGAAGATTGGTTCCAGGCCCAACTCATTTAGAGCTTTAAAGTGGCCTTCAGTGTTGCATAGAAGCTTTGGACAAGTATAAAATCATAACTGTTTGTTTCCAAAAATAGCGCTGATGATGTAAAATTGGTTTCTACAACAAAAATTTTACACCACACCCCTCTACGGGCAGACTTCAATTGTTTCACAACCGGGCAGGACATTCCTAATTTGCTTTTTGATTGTTAGTGGACAGGGCACATGTATTAATTTGAGAAAACTTGTTGCACATTTTGATGTGTAAAAAACTAATCACAGTGCTCTGACTAAGGCAATTCCCAGAAATTGTTTAAGGTTTTCAACCTCTCTCATCCCGATTGCTTTTGTGCTGGTTGCTCCGCGATCGTCAAAAAGAAGTGCAAGAAATTATTGTCCAGGAAGGAGTTTTCACTGATACTCAGAACAAAATAAGTACCTCCATTCCTAGGTCCCTTCATCTCTGTCCCGAACTAATACATAACCTTTACTAAATGGGATTGTTAAAAAGAAACTTAAGTGATTTTATGCGGAGCTGATGTTATTCTTTACGCCTTAAGTTGAGTTGTTATTAGTCCACTTGATAACTTTGTCTTTTAATTTGTTTATGCATGTTGCGAATTGTCTTTTTTTAAGTGTTGAATGGGTTTATAAACTTGTTGTTGACACAGTGTCTTTGCATCGTATTTTTATTTTTCTTCCCAAACCATGGATTCATCAGTATGCACAGAAAAAAAAAACACATTGGATCCAGAGTCCAGACTCATGAAAACATTGACAAGAAAAAATACTCTTGATTCGATCGGATTTTTGCTTGAATCAAAACAAAATCCGCTTAAATTAAGAGGCTTGGTTCTTGATTAAAGCTACATTCTGATTGAATCAAGAGTACTTTTTCTTGTCGATGTTTCCAAGAGTCTGGACTCTAGATCCAATGTGTTTTTTTTTCCTGTGTGCTGTTGCATTGAAGTAGGTAGAATTTCCCATCATCAGACTGGAAATACATTTGGTTCCTGATCAATATGTCAATTTAGGCAATGCAATAACATATGAGCCGATATTGTAATTTTTTTGCCTTTCAACATGGTTCTTGCAGCTTCAGGGATGAACGCTTCACGAACTTCTCAAGACCCTTCTTGTAATTTTTTCTTACATGCATCATTCTCTCCCGGTATCACAAGTCTTGAGTCAGATTTCTTAAAAATGATTGTAATCTTGAAATGGGATGTCTTACTGAACAAACAATTATTAAATTAAGGTTTGTTCCTCGGTTATTCCAACAGCAAGAATCTACAATGAACAGCTATTAATAAAAATTATAAGAAGCGAATTCAGGCACTTAGAGGGCCTTGAAAAGCACTTTTAAAGGCTGCCCAAACCATGTTGAGGAGCACCAATGACTAAATCAATTATGAGGAGGAGCCTTTAGCAATGGAGAATTTGCAGGTGTCAGAAATTTGATGAATTCCGTGCTTGAATGGATGCTAAAACAAGTGAGCTGAACACAAGGATACCCATGGTTCATAAATTGAACACTTATTGGAGGAGATAGGACAAAATTAGGTAATTTGCTAAAATACATGCGTTTGAATGGGAAATGCTGCCAGATGACATCGCTAGGCAGCGCATTTTCTTACTTATAAATCTAATTTGATACTATTTCTCATAGCGGAAATAAATTGTAAAAAATCCTGCAAAATCAGCCCTTTTGGCACTTTCAGATGAAGCAAAAAAAAAATTTGCGTGCAAATACCAGGGTTGCCACAAAAATTTGGAAATGATTTTCCCTGACTTTTCCCTTACGAAAAATGGAGAAATTCCCTGACCTTTGAGAATGCGCGCCATGATCGCACAGCCAAATTTACACCTTGCTAGCTACCATCTACCATATAGCGTCTCATTTGAAACGCGCTTAAGCTATGGAGTCAGAAATTAATTGTAGAACATTTGGAAATACAAAAAGGGTTGTTAACTTATTCTTTTCATTTTGAGGCTATTGACTTTCTTGAGCAACCCAATAATTGTTTTAGAAATAAAAACTTTAGAACAATTGTTCTTTTGAAGTAACACTCTAAAAAAAGGGTCTTCCCTGGTGTTCGTTTCTCTATGTATCTCTCCCTTCCCAGGATTTTTCAAACACCTATTTTTAAAGTGAGCTTCAAATGGTTTATTTTTTCAAGAACTTTGATGCTTTGTGTTTGCAATAATCCTAGACACTCAAATTACTTTAGAGAAGAAAATTAAACGGTTAGTGGTTAGTCAGCGGTAGTAGTTGAAATTTCAAAAATACACACAAAAACTGGGCATTCCAATTTGCGTTGCTTGTTGCGTTGGCGACCAAATACGGCTGCATAATTTAACTCTTGAATGCATTGCGAGATATGCCACGTCATCGCAATTTATATTGCGTTCAAAACCGAAAAAAGAAAGATTTTAAGCAACTCGTAAAAATTGTCAATTTTTATCTGACTTTTAGCTGTTTTTGGTCAAATTCCCTGACTTTTACAGGTTTTCCAGAGCACTTTTTTTCCCCCTGACTTTTCCAGGTTTTCCCTGAATTCCCTGACCGTGGCAACCCTGAAATACTCCACTGAGGATTAATTACTGCTTACTCTCACTTACTAAACAAATAACATAATTTTACACAAAAATACTGGGTTAGGAAACAATAAAATTAGAGCTGCAATTAAAAATCATGATTTTTTATTTTTTACGATCAATTTAAAGCTGTACAATAGAGAAAACTAGCATCTACAAAGAATTCAATTAATACTCTAAAATCACACATGAAATGCAAGATTGGTACTGTCAATCAATAGTGAGAAACAAAGCTAAAATTATCAACAATGGCATTTTTAATTCTTCTCATTTTAGGTTATCAGCAACGAATCTCCAACGATGATCCAGTGTTTTGAATTAGCGCTCTGAAATCAAAATGAAATGAGAAGATTAATCATATGAAGGAATAACATCTAAAATTACAGTGAAGAGAGATAGAATCATCAAAAAAGGTTCATGGACACAACAGTTGATGGAGCTCCCTCAACCGTAGAAACAGTGATGTGAAAATGAGGAGACAGCTCTGGAAATCAACATGTATTTTCACATGTACTATGGTAGGAGGTGATAGTAAGCTGGTTGTGTGCACTGTAAGTTATGGCACCTCATTCAACTGGTATCAGATTAGGAAGTATCATCACTTCTTCAGAAGGACCTTTGGAGGGGATCGTTGATTAATCATCATGCACCAGGTGTCAGAGGTTCATTTGCAGAAAGATTTCTTGTATTCGATGGAGAGTTAGGAAAAGTATACTAAGATTTCACAAGAAAAACATAATTTTGAAGGAAGGGTTCGATCCATACAGAGGAAAATACAGGCAGAATAAAAACGGCCAACACTTTCTACCGAGGAGAAAAGCATTACAAAGAAGTCGAACCTGTTTCAGATACGAAAATATCGTCACTTCTTTTCAGAAGGACCTTTGGAGGGGCTCGTAGAAAAATCATCATTAGTTGGTAGACTTTCTTTGCGCATCAATGAAATGACATTTTAAAGTTCATTTGTGTCAAACTTTTTCCGGCCTGTTCAACGAGATTCTAATTGACCAGGAGGATAGAGAAAGACTATTAATATACCAACATGTACAACTAAACCGCAGAAATGCTATGCGCTAAGTTGTCAAAATGTTGGAGCAACTTCTTTTGTAAAGTTTTAGAAAATCTGTAATAAAAATCAAACTCTTGGTCGGGCAACTCATAAAAATTCTCAAGATCTTCTAAAACAAAAACTGTCAACACTTACTATGCACTTATCAAGGATTATACTGAATTAAAGTAGAACTGAATTTAGGTTTCGATACTGTGATAGTATGCAAGACGCACAGTTGGGATGAATCAGAAAATTTGGCTTGAGGTTAATATTTATTAATATATTCAAATTTTCATCAGAAAATTGTACCATTTTATCTCCAAAACTATCAGTAGGACTGACGCGGAATGGATGTTTTTCATCACTGAAATTGTAAGTATGATTCTGCTTGTTTCAGTAAGATTTTAAAATCAGCAAATAATACCATATTGTCTTCAAGGCTATCAGTAGGACTGACGCGGAATGGTTTTCATACATCATTTTAAAATCTTCTTAAAATCTTTCTAAGGAGCCACTTTTCAAAGGAGATGAAAATCAGTAACAAGTGGCTTACAGGTAGAAGGGAAAAGCAAAACAAATTTCTGTGCAAAAGAAGTCAGCCACAAACGTTCTGCCAAAGAATTTCAGATTGACTGGGACGTTGTATATTTCATCAGAAGATAAAGCAGAAATTTGAGCTACCAAGGTAGCATTGTAATAGCTTAGCTGAGGGACATGATAAAATTGACAGACAATTTGAATGAGACTATAGTGTCTGATGCTATTTGAAACTTTAGGCGAATAGTTATCAGAGAAAAACGTTCTGACATGATGTTTCAGATTGACTGGGACGTTATTTATATCATCATTCAACTATTCAATTATTAATTCAATAAATGCTTCTTAATGCTTTTTTGATCATCACTTTAATCATTTCAACGACTTTTACCACATCAAAATTAGTAAGTACAGTATTCGAAGTCTCAGGGGTTCTTGATAGATAAAGAACTCTTAAATAATGGAACTTGTTGCATGCTATTCCAGGCCGAATAAAAGAAGAGACTTTTACAAGGAGGATAGAGCATGTAATTAATGTACCAACATTCTTAAAACTCAGTCCACACAAATTGTGTTCCAAGCAGTTGTGAGTTGGAAGGGGGGAAGAGCGAGAGTAGCAAGTATGTTCTTAATGTTACCAAGTGTAATAAAAATTCAGCAGAGGAAATAGACAAATGGGTAGGATATGAGGGTTTTGATGTGGTCGTTTAATTTTGAGAATGTTTTATGGTGCCAGTGACAATAACAACAGAAATAATTCCTTTAAGACGGGTTTCGGTGTCATGATGCCACTATTTGCGAGTAAATCAGATAAATCTTGAATCAGTGATCTCATAAGTCTAGCGTGTATAAATGGGTCATCATTTGAACTCTAAAATGGCATCAAAAATCAGAGACCTTAAGAACTGGGTACAGCCAGTAATTAAGCGAAACACAGCTTTCAGATTTGATTCTAATCAGGTAAAAACTCATTAGTCTAGCGTGTTAAATAAAGTCATCACTAAGCTGTCATTGGCAGACAAACAAATCAGATATTAGGCGACTTTCTGTAAGTTTATGCTCAGGATATGGGTAAAGCATCAAGAAATCAGATATATGCTCGTCAAAATAGATCATCAGTGCAAAACTTGACCTAATGAGAGGGGTCTTTTTGGAAAAAAAAAAAAAATAGTCACATGGAATGATTCTTTCAGATAAAAGACAACAGCAAATACTTTTCAGACATATGCTCGTCAAATTTTCATCATTAAGAGGCACCGATGTTGAGTACTTTATGTTACAAAATTTTCTCAATTTCAAAACCTCAGTGGTAAGTTTTAACATTGTCATATTGTTGTAGACTAATTCCGGGTTGTAGGTCAAGCGGAGCTACAGCCAACTATGCCAACATCTACATTACTTTGGCACTTCATTACGACCAACAGACGTACTAGAACGATAGGTTGGAGATACCGAAGTGCAATTTAGCTACAACTGGGGAACCAGAGCAGCACTTATAGTGACAGATTCAACCAGAGTTTCCGTGAACACAATTATCAATGGATATGATTAATTAAAGAAAGGGGGGGGGGGGAAACCACCCCGAATACATTCAAGTAAGATTCATGTGTCATCTCAGAACAGACAGGTCTTCAAGAAAATTAAGACTGGCGCTAGGAAATATTATCATCAGTGACAACTTTCTAATTTGGAAAAAAGGCAAATGCCATTAAAATATAGTTTGCGGATGGAATGAAGTGCTCAGCGAGGGCAAGTTCTGATCATCTTGAATCACCAGAATGCGTATACTATTGGAGAAAAGTTATAATCATCGCCAACATTCCATCAGTACATCTAGTGCGTACCTAAAAATCTCAAAGGAAACTGATACATAGAGGACCAAAACTGTAGCGTGTACTCAGCGACGGTATGGCAAGATCATTATGCATCAAGAGACAACAACGTCAAGATAAATTATAATCATTGTACACACTGAAAAGCAATGCCTTTAAGTTTGGATGATGATTCTGACTGATGGGGGGGAAACAGAACAACCTGGTGATTCTCGGGTCCAAATATAAGTACTTAAGTTCTATACAAACAGTAAAATTACACTTTCTAACAGTTCTTCCAATATTTTAAGGAGGTCCTGATAAATCGAACAATTTTGAGGATGACGTGGAATAATGTCTCGTTATTTCCTTGAGAGAAGATGCAAAGTCAGCCAACTGCTCTCTACACAAATATGAATTGATATATCCACCACTTATTCGCCTTAATCACATGAAGAGTGATCAGGAGAGCTATGGGTGGAACTAAGGAGGGCGAACTTAATATCAGTGTGCGCCAGGAATATTAAGTTTGAAACATTCTACGAAGGATTAAAGTTCTATGACGCAAACTAAAATACTAAGGGATAGCATAGATGAGAAACTGTAAGACTTACCATTTGTGCTTGCCGAGAAGTAAGGTCTACATTCTTCTTCGCAGGGTGAATTTAGGAAAAAAAATCCTGCACAAAAAAGGTAGAGGATTACTTGTTTGAAAAGAAGAGACTGAAAGTTTTATTGAAATTGAATGAAAGATTTTAACTCTTTGCATACCTAACTACCATTTCTCCACAATGCACCCTCTGTGGCAGGAGTTAAACATTCTTCCTCTTACTGCTGAAAATTAATTCAACATTTTGTTATCTACTTTAGGTAATCTTGGTCTTGAAGGAAAGATATTCATGATTTGCCACAAAGGGATCGTAATTCTCATTCAACAGTCATCTAACAAGACATTAGAATGATGCAATTGTTGAGCATTATATCCACAATACAATCTGATGGCTGAGACGCTTAACTTCATGCATCGAGAAATTTGAAAACACAGTATACCGCGCAAAACATTGGAATAATTTTGCTTTTAATCATTCAAACATGTTTTACATTACCACCAAAATTTACTTAATTTATCATAACTGGTTGACCAACATTTACTTAATTCATCAAAACTCATTGACTCTTAACACCTGATGAGACAAGGATTTATCCTTGTTACAACAAAAAGGAAAGGAATGGGTGAACATTGTAAAATCTTTGCTTCGCAAACTAATTTGAACAACTAGGTAACAAATTTGAAGGTAACAAGTAAGAACTATCATTCACGAGACCCTCTTAGTGGGGCCGATAAGCATAACAATNTTACGCTAACATTAGCCGTTCAGTAGTTATTCAAAATTCAAAATTTGGGGGCCCCCCTGCCCCCCCAGGGGGCTCAGATTTTTGGGGTCTATGTCTGAATCGAATGTCTATAGGGTAGAGATGAATCCCTGAAATTTTCATGCTTTCTTCCAGAAGTGCACGATTCTTATGATATTTTCCACTTATCGGCCCCACTATCTACATTCAGTTCCGAGTTCAAATAAATAGAAATATCTTCACTTTCAGGAGATGTTTTAAAGATATTTTCAGCGTTCTAACTGCGGGAGCTTGCTTGCTCTATTGACACAAGAGGAAAGAATTACTGTCTCGTTTTTAAGGTTACTTTGATGGTAGAGACACATCTTTTCAAAGAATTCCACATTCATATTTGATAATCAGACTGGAATTGATCAGCTTGGGTTGAGATCATTGAAGAATACCTCAGAAATTACAGACACAAATATTTTAGCATCATTTCATTAACAGTCGTTGACTCAAAAGGAGAAACCTTTAAACGATTGATGGATGTAGCCAGTGAACTAACGTTGGCAACATCATAATCATTAGGATAAAGAACAAAATACAACTCACCTCAAGCAGATAAGTGGACGTGATCTCATTGACTCTCAACAGCTCCAACAGCTGATGAGCAGACAAGGATTTATCGTGGTTTCAACAAAAGGGAAAGGGATTGGTGAACATTGTAAAATCTTTGCTTTGCAAACTAAGGTAACAAATTTACACTTGCATATTACAATATATACACAGACGACGTAATAAGGAACAGGATTAAGGAGATAAAAGGGTCGGATATGAGCAGTTCAGAAGGCGAATCGGGTTCTGATATCTTCCAATTTCTTTGAAACTTCGCTTGGCGTCCTTCCAAGATCTTCTGCAATACTTTTCTGTTTGGCTGGATCAATAGAATTGTACTGCTCACATAGATCTCCGTCAATAACATTCTGAAATCAAAAGATGGGCTGTTTGTTAACATCAATAATTACATTCTACATCAGGGGATGAAACTGAAATTTTGAGGTCATTAGGTTTTCAAGGTTTTTACTAAAGGTAACTTAAAACGGCAATCCTCATGCTCATCAACAACTAAAATTATTAAAAATTGTGAGGAGTGACTGAAGACTAAAGAGGAGAAAAGCCAGGGATAGATTTTATCCGAGGTCAAACTTCCAGGGAAAAATGTAGTATCTCTTGATTTTATGTCCTATCTCCTCAACTTGCCTCATCAAAATAATGTTAAATTCATTATTTTTTTTCATTGGGATTTAAAAGTTAAGCATGTAGGGGACACAAAAAAAAAAATATTTACCTTCAATGAATAATAGTATGATCTGAAGGAAAGATGGTCTCTGCCACACAAAGGTGGGTGCTCTGATCGCATGTGCATCTCGAGATGTTGGAAGAAATCTTGGTCTTCATGGGAAGTGAAGGGCACTAGAACACCTACGGTGCCAGACAGAGTCGTATATACTAACGATTCAAAACCTCCAGGAATGAGTGTTGCTTTCTAAAAAAGAGAAAAAAGATAGTTAAGTAAATAAAATGAAGAGCAAAACAGTGTTAGAGTGGAATAAATTATATGGGTGAATAGTTGACAAGTTAAGCATGAACGAGAACGTAAATTATTTTACTAATACTGCAAGAGAAAAAGCTTTGCAATGTGTCTCGTACATCTTATGGATGTATTCATATTTAATTTAATGCAGAAGCTTCTCCTTTCACTGAACTTAATAGCGTTTTGATAAGGAGGAAAAATCTTACAAAAAGTCGCAGAAACCAATCACTTTAGTACTTAAAAATTAAACTTGAGAAGGTCAAACACATAAATTCATGTTACCTGCAAGGACATGCAAATCTCTCCAACATGAAAACTAGCTACAAAGTCAGCTTTCTGTGACGCTCCATTCAGAAGACCTCTATCCCATAGAGCTTTGTTTCCAGTAGGGTCTTCATCCACATCATCTGTCGCCCAACTTGGTAACCGAATCTGTAACGCATAAAAAAAATTAATATCAAGGGACTGATGATCACTGTTGGGTTGCTCAGAGGTCATGATTCAACATCATGATCGAACTCTAGGAAAAAAATTCAAAAAGGCAAGTCTCATCAGAAATTAAAGGGTACCTTGGGGTATAATCATGAGCTCATTTCAAGCGCGCGAGCAGATATCATCATTGAGACTGCTTGGATTTTAGAAGCGAATGGATAAGATTAGAGCTTTTTTCTTGCAATCAGCAATGCATTATGGTCAACAAAGTGCATTCAGAATTTTTTTTGCATCATTTCACAAGGAATTAAATTCATTCATAAGGTGTACTAAGTCATGACTAAATGTGCAGAATGAATACCTGTCTGCTCCAACTTCTAATAATGAAAGGAAAGAGAAGCGATTTATACGAAAGGGCGCAATTGTAAATTTTTTACTGTTTATTACAAAAGCCTATGTAAAATAAAAACCAAAGAGAGATCAGGAGATTGTAAAACTAGTGCAATGTACTCACAACAGCTATGTTCCCGAATTTATCAGCAGTAGCAACTGTGTTGTAGTCGAGGACGGTGGAAGTCGTGATCCAGCGGGGCTGCGTGTCATCAGTGAAAATGATGAGCTGGTTTTCTTGTCTCTTGTAACGAACCATGTAGACACTTTCTTGGACATCACTTACGAAAACTCGATGACCAATTGCTTGGATGTTCACTATTAGGTTGGGAATGTGCTGGAAAATATATAAAAAGTGGTTTCAGTTGTGAACGTAAGAAAGGAAAATGAACACTCATTAGTTCTTTTCAAATGATGAAAAGAGGAAAAGTACTACAGAAGTCTACCACTATTTAAGACACGGCAGAGAGAGATGGTAATGAAGAGAGTGTCCTATCAACATCTGGTATCAATTTAAGAGAAAACAAAACAGAAAAAATTTAAGACGGAAAACCACATTATTAGTAACGAGATGTTGATTTGTAGAGTAGAGCCTACCGCAGATAAGTTGACCTATTCTATCTCCCAAGTACTGTAACTGCTGTGAGCTTAAGCAAATGAAAAGAGTCAACTTTTCTGAGATGGGGTCTGACCTTGATTTTGTTTGCTTACGTATAAGAAAACATACTTGGCATCAGATATATTAAGAGGTAGTGTCATTATGTTATGGAATAATGATAAAAGGTTCTAGTAATAGAGCTAAGTATAAGGGGTTATGAGTCTTTCTCAGCTGATCGTGTTTTTCAGAAAACGCATAGTTTGCATCAGGGATGTCAAGAGGAGTAGCGTGCGTTGGGTCATCATGAAAGGAAAAAAAAACAGAGAAAGAATTCTTGAGGAATTATCAGCTGCAGTAGCATGAACAGAGAGGACTACTTGTGGTAAGCGAGAAATAGAATGGGCACTGAATTTAGTCAGTCTCTCTAAGATAACATTAGTAGATCAGAACACACAGAGTTTGCATCACGCAGTCAAGAGGAGTAGCGTGCGTTGTTGTGTCATCATGTAATAAGATAATAGGCAATTTCTTTCTTCCTTGATTTTGCTATGGATTCACTTTGTTTTAAACAGGTCGAACAATATTCAATCAGAACACACAAGGTTTGCATCAGGTATCAAGAGGAGTAGCGTGCGTTGTGTCATCATATTGAAAAAGTAGCATCATCAAAACTAAGATAAGAAGACTTCTGATAAGCCATTGATAAAAATAACACTGAGGGCTTTATCAAGAAACCCAGGAGTCTGTCAAAAATGAATACTGAAAGAACTCTGTTCTTTATATTATTACCTTGTTTTCGCATTTTCTAAGTAATTTTTTCTTTCCGAGATCATACAGCCGCAGCAGTCGATCGACACCAACAAGCAGTCGACCTTGGAAAGGACACAGCGCCTGAGGAACTCCATCGATAGGTGTTTTGTGAACTAATTCAAGATCAGTTCCTCCCGCCTCAAACCTGGAACAAATAAGAAGATGAAATTGGAATGAAGCACGAAAGGACTACGTGCAAAACGGGTCATTTGGGGCTCGGGGCGGATACCTTTGAGACTTGCCCTATTCATTCACCTAACAATGCCCCATCTTTTCCCAAAGTTTAAAGCCCCCCAAAAATTTTGGGGAGACGCGGCGGGGGGTCAAAGTTAAAAACCGGCAAAATTTTCGCGAATTTATTACTCGAAAACCAAGAAGTTTTCGTAAAAGCGGTTTAAACGAGCGTTTTCAGCGTGACGAGAGCTTTCAGAAAATGTATAACATCATAGGGTTTTGTCAACTTCAGCTCGAGTTATCACCTCCGAAGCGCCGGAACGCTCAAAAGAGACCCCTTATTTTTTCACGTTTGGGCCGATTTAAAAAAAAGCCATTTTTTTAATTTCATGAAAAACTGATATGTTGTTCCTGACTCTCTGTAGCCCCTCTAGCTCTTTACCGCATGCTGGGGAAATGTTTTGGTCGCGAGTCATAAGAGCGGAAAGGAGCGAAGGTCGGGAAAATTGGCTATTTTAAACTGCGCGCGGCGACGGATCAGGAGCCATGTGGCAACTATGCGAGGTCGGCAGAGGAGTGTGATTCACCGAAATGAGTGGGAGGGGACGTTTTCCCTCCGATCAACGCCGCG